TTTTTGTCGTTTTTCAGTTTTTGACATAATTTGAAAATGTCTGTTGCCCTTTTCACTGTGTGTAAATTTTATAATGAATGGACCAAAAGAAACGACCCAAAATGACTTGGGGAAAAAAGTCTGATTCCACTGACTTATATTAAAAGTAAAGTCGTTCCTTCTCCTGTAAATTTACCATTTTGGAGATATGAGGTTTTCTTCCGACAACAGCAATGTACTATTGTTGATATGGATTATATATATTGTATGCAGCTGTATTCTAAAGTTTTAACAAGACAAATTTCATGATTTGTTGATTTTCTGAGAAAGTGTAAATCATTTCAAACTTCCTGTACAGGGAACACACTGAAATATGGCATTTTTTCTGCACAATTTCTATTTATTTGCAATTTCTATCTATTTATTTCCATATTGACAAAAATAAAACATACAATATAAAATGTGCCACTTTTGCACACAATCCTGATTGCTTTCTAGACCTTCTAGGTATGTGTATACATTTTAGTTCGTACTTATTTAGTATGATATCATGCTTGTCATATTTAATCACTGCAACTATTGTAGTAATACTTATATTTCATTGTGTCGTTTGGCTTGAAAAAGAGTTAAATCTTTGAAACACCCACTGAAAAATTATCCTAACAGGATTGTTTTCTCTGTGGTATCTAGGCAGATAGAGCCAAGCAAGTTCTCCCATTGGTTAGGACTTCAGGAGCTGAACTGAAGGCCTTACACATCCGATAAACTACCAACATAATTAGGAAGTGACTGGAATCAAGCTATCATGTTTTGATTTAACAATTTTGTGAGAAACAACATCACTCTAGGTCAGGGGTGCACAACTGCGACCAGTATTGAGCGTCCCTGCGTTTAACCAATTTCCATTACAAAGCAAAACCATCATGTTTTAATCCTAATAGTGTTCTTTTTTTCAGCAGGTGTTCCACATTATTTATGATAGAAGTAAATAAAAACCTACTTATAACCTGCTTCTGCTTTTGTATGTCTGATTATTTTTGTTATATATATATATATATATATATATATATATATAATTTCCAGTGCGTCTTCATGTTTGGTGACCTAGAGCAGTATAGGCCAAGTACATAAAGGGTGGGCATTAAGAGAGAGAAACAGATACAGGGACAAATGGATAGATAGAGAAAGAGAGAATGAGAGAGAGTCTGACTCACAGTCACTCTCCCATGTGAGTGCGTATGCTGGAAATGTGGGCTTGCCACCACAGCCCTGCTCAAAAGAGTGGCTGGGCTGCATTCCGAAACACAGGCCACCCTTCACCTGAGCCAAGAGCACACTGTACCCTCAGTCTGCTCAGGAAAGAGATGCATGTAGGTGATGATTCACATGTGTAAAATATGTGTGTAATGAATTCTGCTTGTGCTTCTAGGCTTTCTTAGTGTTCTCATCCTTATGAATACAGAGTACAGAGTGAAGCGTAGTCACTTCTGATGAGAGTTTAGTTGGGTTGTATTATTAGATAAAGTGATTCATGTTATTGGTTGATATTAGAAGATTTTTTTTTTCAGAATTATGTGAAGTCATGGTCATTTCCTTTCAGTGTTTAGGCCTAATGGATGGGAAACATCATGTCTTCTGAATGCTGAAGTATTAGTAGTGGTCAAATTTTGGTGACCACATGACTTACACTTTGTTTTTGTATTTATGAATGGATAAGTCACACTGATCGAAATGGAAAATCTTGTTACAAACATAAGAGGCCCTTTGTCCTTGATTTTTCATATTTTCTCATGACTTGCAAACTGAAAAAAGTGTAGAAGATAAAAATTGGGGGAAGAATTAGGTAAGAATCCATAACTGGATTACCAATACGGAGACATGTAAGATTTATTCCCAAAGCGTTACAAATGCAGATATTTTGGTAAACCATTCTGCTCTTCCAATACAGCATGGGAATCAATAGGTTAGCATTCCCTACGAACCTTATTAGTGATCAGGATTCGGCCATGTGCACAGGCTTCTTTGGTGCTTTAAGTGCAGTCACAGAGAGTAACTGGCTTTCCTATTAAAATGCACTGGTTAGTCATTTTCAATGAGTGTGTTTACATGCACTCAATAGTCCGATCATAATCGGATTTCTGCAGTTGTCTGATTATTCAAATGGTCATGTAAACAGCATACTCCGATTTCTTAGATCAGAGTAAGGCCTAGAAATCCAATAAAGAGGCTGGATTTTAGCTCAGTAATCAGATTTCTCAGTGCATGTAAACTCTTACTCTGATTTCTGTCGGATTTGTTAGTGTGAAAACAGATGGCGGTACCGGAAATAAACAAGCAGCGTGATGGCAGCAAAACACGTTTGGACTTACGCTGAAACCAAATGCACACTTGACAAAATTAAGACAAACAATCAGTGTTTGACCTTTTTCCTTATAGGCCAAATCGATAGATAACAACATATATTACCATTAGCCTATTTTTGGTATTCAATACTTTTTTATTATTATTGTTTTTTTTACTTTTTGCTGATTATTTTCACCAATTATGACAGAAAAATAATAAAGGTGAGAGGCCACATGTCCATTGTTTTAATAATTCTACACTAAAACCTAAGGGATGTTTTATGTGAACAGCAGGAAAAATCCATAGGTTAGCAATCCATATGCCTATTATTAGCAATTAGACTGTATCCATGAAATAGGCTTCCTTGGTGCTTTAAAGTGATAGTTCCCTCAAATATACACAATTTTCACCTTCCCGTAGCCAAGAATTGTTTGGCTCTTTAGTAATAAGTAATGGAAGCTTATGTCCCACCAATTAGCATTATGCTAACTGCATGCCTAAATCATTACACATTTGCCTCAAACTATGTCAAGCAGTTAAGGAATCTTGTATAGACTTCTTATGTGGTGTCTGATAGGGATGCACCCATATATAGACATTTATAAAATGTAGAAATTGGGACTAAGGCTTCTGAGTGGTGCAACCGTCGGTCCTGTCTTCAGGGGAGAATGTGAGTTTGATCTGTGTTTGATCAGTGATGCCACAGTCATCCGTGTTCAGGAGTCCAAGACTCCATTAATTTCCTCTCTCTCTCTCAGGGTGGGTAGGATGGTCCTCCCTCTCTCCCCATCACTTGCATCTGTTAGACCAATGATGCTGGTGCATCATGTGTCTAAATTCAGTACACCTGGATTACCAGTATGGAGAAATGTAAGATTTATTTCCAGGGTGTTACAAATGCAGATATTTTGGTACAGCGTTCTGCTCTTCCAGAGTGCAATGAACACCTCAACTATCAGTTTGAATTACTGATCAAATCTGTCCAGCACACAGATCAGGGTAAAACTGGGTCCGTTTGACTTTTGGCCGAAGTGTTGCTTTACAGATGATTTCACAGAGTAACTGCAGTGCCTGCACTGAACTGTTATCCACACTGTTCTTTTACTTTTTCTTCTTCTAATGACATGAATACAGCGTGAATGTATGTTTACTGTACAGACATTCAAACGCTTGTTTAAAGTGCTGCTACTGTTCTCTGCTCTCCATTCAGTCTCCTCACTTCTCTTCACCCCTTTTTGCATCCCTCCATTTTTGCACCATTTTTTCAGTATTTTTTTATTGTTTGTGAAACTTTGTCATCTGAAACTTTCTAAACCTCATGCTGCAGACTGATTGCTTTTCAGCTGTTTTTCTCCAGACTTTTTCTTTTTCTTGCTTCCTTCCTCCCTGCCTTCTGTTTCTTTCGTTCTTCTCTTTTTCCTTCTCATTCTTCCTTGCTTTTTTCTCTTTGTCTTATTTCCCTCTTTCCTTCTTTCCTTCCTTTCTTTTTCTTTCTTTCTTCCTTTCTTTTTCTTTTCTTTCTTCCTTTCTTTTTCTTTCTTTCTTTCTTTTGTTCGTTGTTTCTTGTTTCCATCCTTCTTTTTTTTCTTCTTCTATTCTTTCTCTTTTTCATTTTTCCTTTCTTTCTTCTTTTTTCTTTGACCCTTCCTTTTTCAGTCCTTCCTTTTTTGTCTCCTTTTCTTATTTCTTTCTTTCCTTTTTTCTTTTATTACCTTCTTCCTTTGTTCCTTCATTTCTCTATTTTTTCGAATTTTTTGTTCTTTTTTTCTTGCTTGATTTCTTCCTTCCTTTGTCAGTTCTTTCTTTCTTTCTTTCTTTTTCGTCTGTCCTTTTTTCTTCACTCCTTCCTTTCTTCTGTCCTTACTCTTTAATGTCTCTTTTTCTTTTTTCCTTGCTTTCTTTTTCTTTCTTTCTTCCTTTTTCCCCTTCTTATTTCTGTCATTCTTTTCTTTTTATTTCTTTTGTTCTTTCTCTCTTTTTCTTCTTTTCTTTCTTTTTTCTTCCACCCTTCAGTCCTTCCTTTTTTCTTTGTCTCTTTTTCTATTTCCTTCTTTCCTTCCTTTCTTTTATTACCTTCTTCCTTTATTCCTTTATTTACCTAATTTTTTCTCATTTTTTGTTCTTTCTTTCTTGCTTGCTTCCTTCCTTCCTCCCTTCAACCATTCTTTGCCTTGTTTTCCTTTTTGTAGGTCTTTTCCTTTTCCTTTCTTCTGTCCTTCCATTTAACTTTTTCTTTCTTTCTTTCTTTCTTTCTTTCTTTCTTTCTTTCTTTCTTCCATCCTTCCTTTCTTCTTTTCTTCTGTCCTTCCTTTTTAAAGTCTCTCTTCCTTTTTTTCCCTCTCTTTCTTTTTTCTCATTTTATTACTCTTGAATTCTGTGACTCGTTCTTTAAAAATATTATTGTGATATTTTCTGCCCTGTGAGTACAGTATTTCCTTCAGGAGATGCAAATCCACTTGCCTTTTTCTTATGACACACACTGGTCACTCAGTTACAGTTTCAACAGACAAAATAATAACAGTGGTCAAGGGTTTCCTGGACAACGGCTCTAAGCAATGCAGTGAAAGGGGTGAATGACAGACCTGCATGTTGCCTGTGAGAGAGAGAAATGGGAGCGTAGAACAGGTCTGCCCGGTCGCTCAGCACGTCTGGGTGTCGGCCGACACCTGTTCCTTCAGGGTGGAGCAGCGACAAACAAACATCTCCACTTTTAACACAGTGACACTTCAGGGGACACACACACACCCTCACAGAGCCACACCGAGTGTGTGTGTGCATATGAGAGACGGAGAGAGAAGGAGCAACAGCACGACAGTGAGCTCAGGAGTGCGTGAGGGGATCTGAGAGCAGCTCTGAGGCTGAGAGTAACACACAGACGCACTGAGAAGGTGACTTTCACCTTACCTGAACCTGCAGGATGTTTAAGAAGAAAGAATCCACCAAGGATGGGACCCTCAAAGGCTCCACAAAACTGACCAAGTGAGTGTGTGTTGGTGGTTCTTTTCTGTTTTCTCTGCTTTTTCTGCTGTTTTCTGCCTCTGTGCTGATCTGAGAGCAGTTTTTTTTTGAAGGAGAAAGTGGTAACCGGAGCCCAGGTGGAGTTAGTAAGCTAAACTCGGTCAGCTTCTGCCTCAGATGTGTGTCATATGTTACATGTGCTCTCTTTTCTGCCTAAGAAAAAGGCCTTTAACCAAAACACTGTGGGCCTTCACTGAAAGTGTGCCAGCATTAAATGTTCAAAGTGATAACTCACTCTGTCACTACAGTAACACTTTGGGGGAACTTGGTCTTCAACAGTTCTTAAAGGTTTAGAGATGTTTTAGGACGTTATACACACTAAATAACCCATTACCATGCAGGCTTATTATTGCTTATTATTCAGTTATTAAACGGAACCCTAAGGGCCGGTTTCCTGGACCTAAGCATAGTTATGGTCTAAACTCTAGTGCCAATGGTGAATTTTTAGTCCAGGTTTAGGGTTTATCTGGGTCATAAATGTGCATATTTGGGTCCACAGTCACTCTCAGAACTACAGAACTGGCACATTAGTTTCATGGCAGACACTGAATAACAGTTAATATATAATTACTACTGCTATTAATTATTCAGTAACTACTGTGATTTATTCAGAAACTGCTATACATTTTTCAGTAGTATAGCAGCTACTATGATTTTTTTGGTAACTGCTATGAATTTTGTACTATGTTGTACTATGTAACTTTGTACTACATTGAGCATGTGCTATGAATTATTCAGTAATTCATATAAATGAATCATGAACTACTGAATTATTTAGTATATAATATGAATGATTCATTATCTACTATGAATTATTCAGTAATTAATATAAATTAATCATGAACTACTGAATTATGTAGTACATAATATGAATGATTCATTATCTACTATGAATTATTCATCATCTGCTATAAATTATCTACTATCTACTAGGAAAGCTTAAGTAACTACTATGAATTATTAGGTATTGTCTATGAATTATTAAGTATATACTGTGAATATGAATTATTCCATATCTACAATTAATTATTTCGTATTGTCTACACATTAAGAAGTATCTACAATACATTATTCAGTACATACTATGAATAATTCAGCATCTACTGTACATTATTCAGTATCTATTATGAATTATTGAGTATCTACTGTACATTATTCAGTATCTACTTTACATTGTTTAGTGTTTACTATGAATTATTCAGTGTCTACTCTGTACTCTCTACTGCTACTATAAGTTATTCAGTAACTACTATAATTTAATAATTACTATGAATTATTCAATTATTCTATATCTCATATGAAACTGATATGAAAATGTGTAAGTTCTGTAGAAGACTTCTGGAGGAGAAGTGACTGTATAATCTAGTCTGGTATGGTCGGTATAGTTTGGTCCAAGATTAGTCTAATTCTGTATCTGCAAATAATGACCTCTCATGTCTTTGAGGTCAGTTGAGCTCCTTATCTCATGTTGTATAGTGTCTTATACATTAGCACTGTACTTCCGACTTATCTATCTGATGTGTCTGTCTGATATTTAAGAGTTTAAAGGTGGGCCAGTATAATTCTGTATGAAGTGTCAATGCAAAAACATTGCGTTACGGTCAGCTCTCTTTTGAGAACATCATAGAGTGTTAATGATCTTTGCTATGCACAACTCTCATTCAGAGATGAATCATGAGTCGTCAGTACGGAACGGTCTCTTCCTCTCCAACCCTGGTGGAAGTACTGTGTTGTGTATCTGAGCTGGCTTTGCTGTGTAAACACAGAAAGCTGAAATGGGTGCTTTCAAGGTGCCACACTGGTGGCAGAACAGACTGGCCACTCCAACTGGTTATTTTTTAATGGGAAATAAGTGATTGTGAAGGTGAGAGTGAGACAGAAACGTGGAACTCCTTAAACTCTATCTGTGAGTCCACACGAGTTTCTTACTCTCACAGCAACAGAACTTACACATTAGCTTCATAGCAGTTACTGAATCATTTATAGTAGATACTGAATAATTCATAGTAGGGAATGTATTGTTTGTAGATTCTGAATCATTCATACTGAATCATTTATCTTCCCTAAATTATATTTATATGTAAATGAGACATTTATATTGAATAATTCGTAGTAGTTACTGAATGATGGGCCTTAGCATTAATACCTTTATATAGTATAATAGTGATAACTATAGTATGACAGTACTGCAATGATTTATCATGACAAATTATGTATTAGTTTATATGATATATAAATAACCATCATATAGTTACTGCATAAACTGCACAGGAACAAGTAGCTGATTGGATGTCAAGACATTATGACATAATCGGTCAAATTGTTAGATTTTTCTTCCAGTTCCTTATTGAATAGTTCATTTTGTCCAAATATTGAATTCAAAAAATGTACATTGATTTTGCACATTGCAGATTAATAGCCTTTTAAAATGTGTTGCTGTTTCACTGGTGTGTCTTGTCTGTTCCATCCGGTTCACACACCTCAGAAAAACACAATATTGTGACATCTATTATCTTCCAGTATCATGATGTAATAGGTTTGCTATATCGTCCACCCTCACTGAATAACAAGCCTGCGGCTGAAGGGGTTAAAATGGGAGCAGCTGAAGCTCCTGTCAGGACGGTTCCACTTGTTCCTCTACTGGGTGTTGCCCCTCTCTTAGTCATGCTAATGCAAAAGTGGTCAACGTCACTGGTGTTCAAGCCAGTCCTGCTGCACATTATTGTGTTTTCCAAGTTCAAATGACTTGATTTGGCTCTTCAGGTGTGACAGAACAGTGAAAATGTATAATGTATATCTCTCAGACTAGACATGGGTCAGAGAGATGCTATCTACTCATTTGAGCCGTGATGGTGAACTGTGAAGGTCAGTAGTGACTTTGAGTGAGTGAGTAACTACAAAAGAGTAGCATGACTCTGTGTTGGTGCAGGCGGCAGCTATGCAGGCTGTGACTGTGGACGAGACAGAGTTTGCAAACTCCGCCAGGAGGAGCCAACAGCAGCATCTGGCTACATTACATGACTCTGCAGCTACACACATTACATTTTCACCATGACAAGACAGTCAGATAGTTTAGTTTTCACTAATTAGAGAGAAATTTAGCTTTAGTTTAGCTCAAGAATCATTTTTAACCCCTTAAACTCCATATGTGTCCAGAATTGATTTCTTCACTCTAATAACTACACATTTGCTTCATAGTAGATACTCAGTAATTCATAGTAGACACAGACACTGAACAATTCACATTTGATATTGAAAAATAATTTCAGTTTCCTAAAATAATTCGTAGTAGATACTAATAATTCATAGTAGATACTAATAATTCATAGTAGATACTGAATAATTCATAGTAGATACTGAATAATTAATAGTAGATACTAATAATTCATAGTAGATACTAATAATTCATAGTAGATACTAATAATTCATAGTAGATACTGAATAATTAATAGTAGATACTAAATACTTCATAGTAGATACTAAATACTTTATAGTAGATACTGTATAATTCATTGTGGATACTGAATAATTCATAAGAAATAATTCACAGTAGATAATTTTTATAGTAGATATTAAATGATTTACAGTAGTTACTGATTAATTCATAGTAGTTACAATACAATTTACAATGGAGACAAAATAATTCATACTAGTCGCTAAATGATTCATAGTGGTGACTGAATTATTTGTAGTTGATACTTAATAATTCATTGCACTGGTGGTTCTTCAAGGGTTCTTTTGTAAGGACAATGGTTGTATATAGAACCATGGACACTCAAAGAACCCTCTGCATGATTAAAGGGTTCTTTGCATCATGAAAGGGTTCTTCAGATTGACTGAGCATATGCTGTAGATTTTCTATCTTGAAACTTTTTGAAAATGGTTCTAAATAGCACCCATAAGTGTTTCTCTATTGTTACAATGTCAAGCTTGCAACAATAGAAGAACCCTTTTGCTGTGTAGATGTTATATAGAACCCTTTTCAAAAAGGTTCTACGTAGAACCGTCTTTAGCGCATTCATGCACATTTTCCATCAATCTGAAAAGCTCTTTCATGATGTGAAAACTTTTAATCATGCAAAGGGTTCTTCAAGTGTTCATGGTACTATATAGAACCATATTCTTTATGTAAGAACCCTTAACGCACCTTTTTTAGGAGTGTAGCGTAGTAAATATTGCATAGTCTATAGTGAATAGCTCACAGTGATTACTAAACATCGGTAGTTTAATACCCGAATAATAGGCCTACAGTTTAAAAGGTTAATGCATTTGATTGGTTCTCCTCTGGTTGAAGTTCTGAATGTTCTATTATGAAGTGACCTTTTGCCATTATGCTATTTAATCTCAATAAATTCTGTTTTAGAAATTGACATTCATCCATCACCACAAGCACTGGACCATATTTCCCTGTAATCCTTTGTTTAACTAAACTTCTTTTTGTAGCCAAGCATAACTGAGAGCAGAAAGAAAGGAGTGATCCACGCCCATGTTTAAATGTGCAGGTCTTGATCAGAGACTTACTGCTTCACCATCATTTTCAATGGCACCAGTACCTGCCCACTGTAAAACCTGTTTTGTGGGGCTTACTCACATAGTTTATAGCTAATTACTGCTTTTGTGTAGTTGCGCAACATCAACAAATGAATATAATGCAGATGAATATGTTCAAATGAGTCAAGGTCATTGTCAATGCAACCATTGTTCATTAATAGTTCAAAAGTAAGCTCAAATCACAATCAGGTTTGCTTGAAGATGGTGAGTCAACTATTGGAAAACTCTTTCAGAGTGGTGCTCCATTGTGTTGTGGACATTTACATGCTAGTTTATGCGCTAACTTCAATATTTGATCAGAACTTTTGAAATATGACGCATATTCATTTATTATAACTACATTCTTGATGTTCTACAGCTTTCTCAGTCATTTTTGAATCATCTACAGCTCCGTTCATCTTTCTGGACACATATTAGAGCTTTACTTACAGCTAGTTCTTTGAAATCTCCACACAGGGCACACAAGTATCTGCGATCAAATATTAAGATTAATTCCAAACACTGACGGCATGTATTACCTTCAGAGGCCTCAGGAGACCAGGGCTTTCCCTGAGAGATGTGTCCAGAGGAGGTTCCTCCCAGTTTGAGTAGAAGCATGGCGAGCAGCCTAGCATTGTTAGCATTGTTAGCATTGTTTGTAAGGAACAAAAGGGAAGGTTCTCTGACCAGCCTGTCGCAATGAAAGGGAAGGATATCATAGAATCTCTTATCAACTCTTTATCTGACTAGCATCGGGCTTGGGTTGCTGGTGGTTTTTAGGCGTTTGGCTCAGGGCGAGGGAGTATAAGATATTTGACAGGCCTAAATTGTAACTCATATGACCCACTAGCCTGTTTTTTCTTTTTGATGTTGTTGTTGGGAGAGATGCCATAAGGTGTGTGCATCAGTTCTAAGGTGCTTGTTTTATTGAAAACCCCTCTAAAGTGTTGTGGAAATGTAACATTTCACATTTAAACTCTCATTTAGCATAAACCTGCCCTAACAAACTGCATGAAAAGCTTGAAAATTAGCTGATACGTTTAATTAGCAGGGGAAACATTGCAGTCCAGGGCAAGGACATTTTATGCTAATGGTCCAGTATTTAAAAGGCACCTTAGTCCTTTCCAAGTAAAAATATGTCTAGCAATACATAAACCTATAATAGTCTCTAAATTAGAGCTCTAACTGACAAGAAATGCTACATCTAATTATCTGTTTTTGAAGAAACTGAACAAAGAAGGTAATAAAAGGTGAGGGTTTATTGCTTTTTTAGTTCCCATTACATTCTTTTAGTTCCTTTAGTGGGCTTTATTCCTCTAGGGAGTGTTCAAGAACCCTAAAACATCTAGATACAGATGTACATCTGAGAAAGACAGAGAAGTAAAGTTGTGGAATGTCAGATATTCGTTGCGTTCTAGGATGGAGACATCAATCTTTTGACACAGTGTTCCCACCCAAGCTTGACATGTCAGTATTAAGGTTAACGCCAAACCTGTTAAGAGGGCCTAGCTAGTTCTGTCACTTGTTAGGGACTGGTTTCCACATGCAGATTAGGCCTAGTCTCCAAACCTAGAGTTCAGAAAACTTGCAGTTAGTTTTGCATATTGTTTCTGCAGCCCAAAGTCTCTTTTTATTTATTTTTATTTATTAATTTTTTTCATCTGAGGTCCTTTTTTGGTGTTTATGTGGTTTTATGTCATGATTCATTTTTACATTTATGTGCCTTTATTCAAAAATCAGCTTCAACGTGAACGGACAGGGCTAACCTGCTATATGTTGCGGATGTATGTTAATGCATTGGTTTTTGAGACATTATAATATATGAATATATTGAGACATTATAAAAATAATGAGTTTGAAACTGACTGTTTTTGCGGCTTAGTTTTCATTTATGGACTGTATGGACTGAGATGTGTTTTGTAAGGAAACTTTTAACAGTGTTTACATACTAGATCAAACTCTTTTAGGTAAAAGGGTGAGAAAATGATAAGGAAAACGTACATAATACCCTTTAATGATTTAGCCTAAAAGCTATATTATAGAAGGTTAAGAATATATGCATCATGTAATCATTACCGGACATTTCCACCCAGTTTTTGGATCTAAAAACATTTACAAGCTGCTGATCCAAACGGACTTAAATTCAGTGACTTGATAGAAATGATAACAGCAAAAAAGTGGATCTCAGGTAAAACAGTATTGCATATTTATTGATTACCTTACCACCCTCAGTGATAAGTCAGCAGATAAGTTTGGTCATATTAATTCAGGTGGCATTTATTACAGAGTATACATAAATCTAATAATCAGAAAACTTGGCACAAAGCTCTGTATAAGGGAACCTGCAACACATGCTTTATTCAACTGAAAAAATTAATGAGTTACATGATAAATGATTGTTGCTGACTAATTTTTGATATTTAACTCATTTTACCATTGAATCACCTCCTTCATAATGTAGCTCACAGAGCAGCACTGCTAAAGGACGCAGCACACATTCTCTCACCTGTTTACTGAATAAAATAGCCTATTACAGCAAGATACGCTAGTCATCATTGACTCTTGTAACTGATTGGTAACTACACTGTAGCAGATTTTCACCATAAAGCATAACTGATGTCTCATTAATAATGGCTGACTGTCTCACTTTCCACAACTGGTGTGGCCAGAAGAGCAGCCTTAGCCATGCTTCATTCCAGAGTGGTGCTGGCCACCCCCGGCCACTCCTTTACTACGCCTTTCGCTGAACTCCTCTTGTAGCTCCCACAGCAGACCTGTACAAGCACAGTGGCAGCATGGTGAAAAACATTTAATTTAGCCAGTTTTACCTTATCTAAGATACAATCAGCCAAGATATGTTTGGTGTCTGAAGTTTGCTTCTTTAGTTTTCCACTGGAGCTATGAAGCTAATGTAGCTAACAAGTATTGGAAGCTTATACTTTCCTGTGCTAACTACATGCCTAAATCATCACAGATTCACCTCAAACCGCATAAAGTTGTTAAGTGAACTCAAATACACTTGCTTATGCAGTTTTTGACACTGTATTACATACTGTTATCTATAAAAATGGACAAAATAGTGTAGCATAGCTAAAACAGTAGTAGCAGCCAGCTTGAAACTAGACTTTTGTCTGTTTTATGTGTTTTTCACTTTAAGGCAGAGTTAGTATGGATCAGGTTCATATCCAATGAGGCAGAAAGCATTAAACAGGGCTTTGAACACTTTTTAATAGTCTGATCGTTCCCTTATCATTTACACATGTGGAAGAATTTAGCTTAAAGTGATTTACAGGGACTTTCTAAAACACTTAGCATCAATGTATGAAACAGCGATGAAGGAACACTGACTTTCTAACAGATGAGCTCTCTTCACTGCCAAAAAAGAACCTGCAATCTAAATATGAAATAATATTTTTCACATTATGCTTTTTTCCTCTCCATTTAGTCCCACTACAAGGAAAAACTTAACATGACTTAATGTACTTAAACAGAAACCCAGAATTACCAAATTTCTCTCACCTATTACTGATTATAGTTGGCAGGACGTACTTCTTACTATGTGATATATGAGAGCAATTGATGTTTTGGCTTGTTAAGCCAAGTTAAGCTCGTTCCTTATATTATGTTTGTATGAATTTAATCTAAAAATAATACTTAATTATGTTTTAGTGCTTTAAGCCACATCAAGCTTCTTTCACTTCAGAATGTCCTGTAAATGCCATTTGTAGAAACTGTATCAGTGAGCGCCTGGCCTCTAGGGCTCCATTCACACTTGGCATTAACATTCATCCTGGGTGATCTGATCATAGGTGGACAGCGCCAGTTACAATCTTGCATCCTGGACAACGCGTCACTCAAACCATCTTCGTAGATGGTCAGGGAGGCATAAGACCACTTAACATTTGTAGTGTAAACACATACTGATGCATCTTCGACAGCAGCAAAGAACCGTCTTAATTAGCTTAATCATAACAGCAGATATGAAAGCAGCTACGTAGCCTCATTTCTTCTCTCTTCTCCCTTTTATTTACAAGTCACATTAGTGGTTCATGTGGTCTAAACATCTGTAACAGCCCTTTCATTTACACAAACACAGACTCGCAGGACATTTTTGCCAGACAATAAATGCAACAAGAGACTGATGTAGTAATGATGTATTAGTAAATATGGGCAGTATCCTTCCTCGTCATGAAATCTGATCACTGGAGACGCATTTGAGACGTGAAAATGCCAGAGACCAATGTTAATACCAAGTGTGGACAGGGCCCGATGTATCAGCTCAAATCAAACCAACAACACTCTATAATTTCAGTTCAAATTCAGTTCAAGGGCTACTAGTCAACACCTTTAATAAAAATGCTAATGCAAGTGCTACTAAAATGCTAAAAGCAAAATGTTTTGAAGTGTTTGTTTTGGATAATGTGTATTTAGCTGTAGCAGGCTAATCTTAGATGCTCACACTGACTCAGAGGCTGACCTGGTTTATCGTGACCTTTAGCCTTGACCCATGTAGCTAATAAAAATGCTAATAGATAAGGAATGCTATTGAAAATGCTAAGAAAATGCTAACAGCAAAGCGTTTTATAGTGTTTGTTTTGGATAATGTGTATTTAGCCATAGCATGCTAATGCTGGATGCTCACACTGACTCAGAGGCTGACCTGGTTTATCGGGACCTTTAGCCTCAACCCATGTAGCTAATCAAAATGCTAATGGAAAAGTTATGTGGTTAAAGAAAATGTTATTATGTTTATCATGCAGTTTATACATTTGATAATGTGGACTTGTGACCTTTGTCCCTGACCCCTACAGGTCTCAGGCGAATGACCTGGCCTTGTTGATCGCGCGTATGCAGAAGAATGCTGACACAGTGGAAAAAGACGTGCTGAAAGCCGAAGAGCTGCTGGTTATTGTGAGAAAAACTTCCACTTCTTTCTGTTTATTCATCTTGTTCTCTCTCAGCTTTATCTCTCCTTTCCTCACGCTTTCCCCTTCTCTATCTTCATGTGTTCTTCTTTATACCTCTCTTACCACAGTGTCCTCCATTGCTCTATCTCTATGTCCATCTTTGCCTTCTCTCAACCTGACTAGCTGTGAACTACAAAATATAAAGAAGGACTGGAAGATGGATGAGGAATGATCCATCACAATGTCTATTTTTCAGTTTTATTCCTTATTCAATCACCATTTCTGTCTGTGTATCTCTCAGGATGCAGAAAATGAGAAGAAGAAACAGCCTCTTAAGCACCAGAAGGAGACGGCTGACAACTTGTCTGAGGCCGAGGGACTTCTGAAGGATCTCTTCCTGGATTTGGACAAAGCCAAGAAAATGAAACACCCACAGGCCGGAGAGATCGAGAACGAGTGAGTGGCTGACATTTACCAACATCAGAACTACAGCTGATTTATTAAAACACTCAATAGGAGCCATGAATTTGTAGTTCTTTACCCCTGTCTATGAATGAATGTGAGCAGAAGTCTCAGAAAGCAAGCAATAAATACAGAACTGGTTTTGAATTAAAGCACAATTACCCACTAGCAGGGCTGCAGGTTTGATCTGAGAATTTGGGGGAAGGAACACTGAGACGCCACAGCCTAAATACAATGCTAGCACCACAAATAAAGTTGCAGATTTCATACATAAAACTGGATAAAGTAGCTACCAGATCCTTATGATATCTAATGCTTTATATGTCAACATTAAAACACCAAACAGTATCATTAACAGGAAATACATATGTGGACGCTCTGTTGTGTAGATAATAACCATGTAAGGCTGACACAAATAAAAGGTGATGAACTTAGCTGTTAGGCTACTTGCTTCACTAAGCGCTGCTGCACACTGACAGAAGCTATCTTTGGCACAGCTCAGTAAACACAGATTCACGCTTGATTTTAGTTTGTAATGGCAACACAATATGACTGGTTTAGGAGATTTAATAGAAAATATTATCAGTGATGCTAGCTGTGTTACAATTATCTTGCTACACCACAAAAATTGCATAATTTTAAAAAGTGGGTGGGAAATGACCCCTAAATCCCCTCCTGAATTTGCAACAATGCCTACTAGATGTAGGGCTTAAACTACATTTACCAGTTTATAAATATTCCTATTTGAGTCAACCTTTTTGTCAATGTGGAATCGATGGTCATTTACGGAATCAGTGTAGTCTTCTGCAAATGCTTTTACACGTTTTATTCATGTTACACATTTGAATCACGTACATTCAAAGCACCGTTTTATTCAGTGCTCATGACTGACCCTTCATTCCTGATTCCTCTGTGTCAGCGTGAGCCGTCTTCATGAACGCTGGCTGAAGGACTGCTCCTTCTACCGTGAAGTCTACGAGCCCATGAATGAGGTGGGCCTGCAGCCACGCATCAACTGGGCTCAGGTGTTCAACCAGAAGCAGGTAACTGAGCACGAGGCAGCAAAATGCTGACAGTGTGTAGTTTTCATTCTCAGGCTGGGAAACTCACAGATAGCGTTTTCCCTGCTCTAACTTGCCTGAGTCAACACTGCTATTAATTATCAAGCCATATAAGAGCAGGGAAAACAAGAACAGTGGTTCTCCAGGACTGAGAGTTGTTGCTGTGCATACATGTTTTTTTATACTGAAGTAAATTTCAGACCAAAAACGATTTGATTCAATTGCGACTCTTTAGGAAATGATTCAGTGCATTGTGACTCTCAAATTTTGCTTTGATTCAGTTTAACTTAATTTGGGACCATTCAGAAATATTGCAAAAAATACACTGAAATACAGATTACATTACACAGTAATTCAACATAGAACAAAAAACGACACCACCAGCGTTTTTTTACATTTGAAAATAAAAGAATTCTATTTTAGTCAAAAATAAGTATAGTTTACTTTTGGCAGACACTCTTATCCAGAGCAACTTACAATTTGATTCATGTGACAGATGTAGATAAACATAGCATCAAGTGTCTTGCTAAAGGATTCTTATTGGTGTAGTGTGGTGTTCCTGCCTGAGCATAGAATCGAAACACAGTCTGCCTCATGAAGGGCTGCAGATCCTCAAATTGTTGACAGTTTGGTGAAAATGTTAGGTTCAGGATTCACCGCATTCAGCTCAATGCATTTTGACAATGGGCCTCATTCACCAATATCTTTCTAAGTTTGTTCATAAATGTGTTTTTGAGAAAGGTCTACGTCAGATTCTATGTCAGATTCATGATGTGCTCTTGAGTGTGTGTAGATTCTATTCTTACCTAAGAACAAATCCCAGAAAAGAAAACATTGGTGAATATCAGAGTCTTAATGAGAACACGAAATTTCTTCTTAACACCGGTTGGTGAATGAGGCCCAGTGTCTTTAAAAAGTACAATGACAGAGATACTGTTACTGTGGTTAACCACGAGGCACATTTCCACTGAATTTGAACCAAATGGCCCAAAGCCAAAAGTTCTTGATTAACACGTGCGAGACTGAGTTTCATTTCTACCTGTTTACAGGTGCAGTGCTTATTTGTCTCTCAATGTACTTTCACATTTTTCCTTGCAGAAAGAAGTAAACTCAGAGGCGTATGGGCCCTCCATAGCTGACCTGGAGAAACAGATTGCAGCCCATAATATCCTACACAAGGAGATCGAGGCCTATAACACTCAGCTCAGCCCAGGGACCACCAGCTCTCAGGTCAGCACAGAGGCCATCATTAAACTTAACCTGTTTAAAGGGGAATTCTACAGATTTGTCAAAATTTCTGCATAATTCAGTCTGTGAGATGTAAACAAAGTCATTCAGAGTGATTTGATGTGAAATGTAGAGAAACTTTCCAACACTGATTTATTTGCACTCGTGGTGATAGGAACCAGGGCTCACCATGTCTACAACACAAATATAGCCATTTTATTTACTCTCCAAAACCACCAGTGAACCTACATGACTTTATACATTTGCTTTATGTATTAATGTATTTTTAAAAAATGCATTTTAGGCCAAAACCTTTTCAAAACTATCATAAAACAGTGCCTGCAGCATATTCATAACCGTTTTATGTAATAACTCGAGTATGTAGCGTGCTTATTGGAATATTTGGCCACGCCCAGTGTTTTGTCATACTTCTGCTTGTTTCTACTTCATTCGAGTTTAGTGTTATATGCTTCACATAAAAGTCAGTTTTAGTATCATACAGACATTTGTAACTGTGTTCCCTGTGGCTTTTATTTTGAAGTGTTTACAGATTTCATTGTTGCAATCAGAGAAAATCAATCAGATTTGTTAAAAACTTAATTTTGTCCAAAGCAGGGAGTGAAAGAAATGTTGTTTATTGGTTCCATAATGAAATCAATGACTTTACCTCCTTCAGATTGAATATGCTATTGTGTTAAATAACACAATATGTCCTGCTGTGTGTTGTTTTAGGAGGAATATGCTGCAATCAAGAAACAGTACTCCAATCTCTTGGTAAGAGTGCAATTTTTGTATTATACATATGTATAAAATTCAGTTTTTAGGGATATTTTAAGCAGTCATTCATGACTTAATTCCCAAATTCCCTTCATTCATCAACAAGTGAAAGATTAGAGAATAGACTAATAAAATAGGACAAAAGAGTGAGTGAAAAAATTCCCAGATCCACTGTTAGGTAGAGCAGTTTTTTGAAAATGTATGACCTGTATAAATGCATGACCCCTATTCTGTTGTAGGATAACTCGAAATGGCGACGTCACTACCTGAGCAGCCTGTATGAGTACATGCAGGCCTGTAATAAAGAAGTGTCATACCTCGGTGAAGAGCAGGCCAAGATCCTCCAACAGGACTGGAGTGACCGCATGGTGGACCCACCTGATGTCCGGCGGCGCTATGAGGTGAGGCCACTGCCACAGAACTGGACTCAGATTTAGTACAATATGTGATGATATGTAAATATAATTGTGGAATTTCATCAAGTCTACAATCAGATAGTGCCCTTAATGTTTTAAACTCTGAGGGTCTGTATGATGATCCACACTCTAATTCCTCAATCTCATAACTACAGACCTTGCCCAAATAATTTAACAAATAAACAATAAATTTATTAATGAATATGAATTATTGAACTTTTATTACATTTAGTTACTGAAGAATTTACAGTAGATGCTCATTAACAATTCTGAGTCTTTTATAGTACTTACTGAATAGTTTATGGTAGTTAGTGAATAGTTTACAGTAGTTACTGTATAACACTGTATAATTTACTGAATAGGTCATAATAGCTGCTAAATAATAAAGTCTAAAATGAATAATGTAATAATATGTGTGCAGTTTAAGGGCTTAAAAAAGCCGCTATTGAAAGATGTTTACAGTTTTTTGTGGTTTGTTGCAGAACTTTAAAAACAACAGTCTCCTGTCTCACGAGAGCGAGGTCAACAAACTTCAGGACGATGGAGACCGCCTGATAGAGCTCAAACATCCGGCTACAAACGCCATACTGGTCAGTAAAACTGCTGAATGTTTTACTTGTTTTAAGTAATTATATCTGGTGTCTTACTCTACTATATTTGATAATAGTGGCATATAGTTTTGCTTATTTCAAGATATTTTGCTTTCTTAAAGAAATAATGTTGAAAACAAGCAAAATTATCTGTCACTTAAGAAATGTTCACTACATATAAATACTCAAAACAGATGAAATGTCTAAAAATAAGTTAGTCTTAAAATTCTTATACAACAATCTGCAAATGATAAATGGCACTAACTGCAGCACTCATGAACCATCCAGTGAAATGGACCCATCTAATGCAGTTTAATTCCTGATGTGTCTAAGCACTGACAAGCTGCTTTGTTTTCTAGGCTCAGAGAGAAGCGCTGAGGAAAGAGTGGGAGAAATTCCTGAACCTCTGCATCTGCCAAGAAACCCACCTGGACAATGTGGACGAGTACAAAAAGGTAAGAGGATCCGGGAGGAGTCCTCTCTGCGAATCAGCTGAGAGTCCTGCGGCCATGCTGACACAGAGCCAGGCTGGGGCGGGTGAAATCCGGTCATGTCACAGGGTCACACTGAGAACCCTCCAAAAACCACCACATGGTCATGTGACCACAGCAGTGACATTTTATGCAGATACTGTGATCATGTGACTGACAGGCTGGATTTAAGGTCTGTTCAGTTTCACTTTGTCACATTTACACTTTTAGAGTGTAAATTTCTATGTAAAATCCTGAGATATTAATATACTAAACCATCTGATGAAAGTTTGTAAGATAAATTTATTTGCATGCATATTAACATCTAAGATACCCTTATTAGTCCCACAATGGGGAAATTTCACCAGCACATTTTGACCCATCAGTGCAGTGAAACACTCACATAGACACTAGTGAATGCACACACACACAACAGGCCTCTATTAAACAGAATAATAAATGATTTGTGTATATACTAAACTTAAACAGTCATTTTTGTATATACTAAACAAAAACAGTAAATTACTTGTGTATACAATGAACAAAAATAGTAAATTGTCTACAGTATCATGCAAAAGTTTAGGCAAGTGAAATCACGTTTTGTTGATTTTCTAACTGCAAATAAATGAATACATCCTCTTTACTTTGGATATTTATATTTGAAATCTTTTCTCAGAATTCAACAAAGATGAAAAAATAAAACACTGCTATAAAATCCAGCAAATAAATAGTAACTGTGGTTTAAAAGCTGCATAAGCTTGTTCCCTGTAGAGGATGCGTTTCATATGTGCTTCATTCAACGAGGCAGGTTAAATTTTGCACAAGACTGTGAAAATTCTGTTATTTATAATTATTAATCACTTTTCTCTGCTTGTTCTGGACAGTACCAATTGGACGCTGAGACGTTGTCCGAGTCATTATCTGGCTTCAGTTCCACACTGGACCCAAAAGCTCTTGCTAACAAGACCAACACAGAGATTCAGCTGCAGCTCGAGGTATATTATAAAATCTTACCAGCCTTCATATATGAAGTATAAATCACTAATCTATATAGATCATTTATATATCACTATATAAATAATACATACATACATATATATATATATATATATACACACATTATGTACATTATGCATTTTTATACCCCTAGTAATTACTCTTTCTTTCTCTCCCATCCCTCTTTCCGCTCTTCTGTAAACTCTCTCTCTCTCAGGCAGACGAGAGGCCACTCCAGCGCAGTGAGCAGCTCTTAGCTGACCTGAGGAAGCGCAGCACCACCATCGCTCCCCTCAAACTCCGCCGCATCCCTCCCAGCAAACCCACCACTGTAGAGTCACTGTGTGACTGGAGCACGCCCAAGGTGAAACATCCTCATCCACATCTGTAAAATTGCTATACTTACCGTATGAATGGATGTGTAGCATTCAGAGTTGTATCTGTGCAGGTTTATTGTAATGACTTTTGCACAGACCACATTTTATATTCATCATTCTGAACATATCTAACAGTTTCTTTTTTATGTACAGCTTCCTAAAAAATGATATGAAATATTAATATATTAATATTTAATTAATATCATTAATTAAGAGTTTAATTTCTAATTTCAAAACTTTATTATGTCATTTTCAGGCCTCTGTGTCAAGAGGGGAGAGATTCACCTTAAAGTCCAACGCCAACAATGCAGGCTGGGAAGTGCAGTCCAGCGAAGGGGCGACCAAGAGCATTCCTGGAGTTTGTTTCCTGATTCCTCCGCCTGATCCAGAAGCCATCAGCAGAGTGGACCTGTAAGGCTTAAAAACAGCTTGTTTATTGTTAACCCATCTGCAGTGATGATGAGGTTTTCTCTTCCTGTTTTACACATTAAAAAATAAAAAACACACTTCTGCACATTTTAATACTGTTTAGTTGCTGAATTACCCTTGTGTGGTGTTGATGTTTCTGTTAATCAGTGGTCTGGTGGACCCACCGCATTATTGTTTTTTTAAATCAATACAGCCCTAACAATTTTTGTAAAAATACCAGATTTTTTAAATATCACAAGTGGCCTCTCCTTTAGCAGCTGTAGGCAAACAGCAGTCTGTCTATGTTGTCCACCCTCACACACACACACATATACAAACACATACACACACAGACACACACTAACAGCAGGCCTTGTAGGAGAAGAACAGAGTGAAGGACACAGCACTTCCACACTTTTACTCCCCGCTGGTTCACCCCAACACCACGTGTAATATAAATGTATGGGGGGTGAACAGTGTGAAGTCATTCAAAATGTGTTATTTTATATGTTCTACACAGAAAAAACTGATCACAGTGCAAAGGTTATGCCACATTTTATTTTTTTCCAATATGTTAAACTGTGAAAATAGAAAATTTGCAGAAAATACCATATTTAAGTGTGTTCTCTGTAGAGGATGTTTTCTCTTATTCACACAGAAAAATCAACAAAACATCATTTGTTGGTGTTCAGACTTTTGCATGTGACTGCATTTTCTCTTTATTCTTTTGGCTTCTCTGGGTGTTTGCCTTGACTCTCAGTTTTCACTCTCAGTTACGATTGTTTGTACTAAAGGTAGTAAAAGATTGGATTTGGTTTGATTTGATAGGCTGGGTAAAGAACTGGAGGATGTGAAGAAAAGGCGTGCGGCAGTGAGGGCCACGCTGAAGAGTCAAACTCCAGAGCCTGCACGACAGCAGAAAGCAGGTGAGCACCTCACACAACACACAGTACACACGTTCGGAGTTAAAGGACACCAACTGCTGCAGTTAACGTGGTTTTAAATACATGCAACAGTTTTTAATTGCTGGCATGACCATAAACAGGGAATTTGTGCTCATTCAAACAATAACATACAATAGCTACCTCACTTCTAATGTGCCTTATGTGTATTGCGTGTTAAACAAATCAGTCTGTCCAGGTGTCAGAGTTCTTACTGCTCAGTCTTCACAACAGCACTTACCAACCCTCTCTTGTGCTTCAGTTCCAGTGTCTAAAGCTCCTGAGAACCCTAAAACCGCAGAACTGGCTGGACGTCTGGATCAGTTGGACAAGGACCTGGCGAAAGCAGAACAGGACATCTTGAACCGCATGAGAGCTCCTCTGGACCGCAGTGATCCAGCTAAAGATCTCGCTAACCGCCTGAAGGAACAAGAGGTGAGAGAGGCTTTAGATGTGTTGGTCAAAGACAACGCAGGTCAGTGTGAGTTCAGCTGAAATGGCTTGAAGCTGCATCAAGAATGCAAAGAATGTTGGTCTTACTGTAATTTCTAACATATAGATTGACATTGTATTCATATCTTGTATAATCTGGAAAATATATATATGTATATATGACAATAAACGTGATTTGATTTGAATGGAATTATAATTAAAATTGATATCAAGAATGCTCGTTTTTTTTAAAAGGCAGAAAACCTGACCAAATTTTCTGTAAATAGAGAATTATAGTATATTATTTGTCATTCAATAAATTCTATATTATAATATATATATTATATATAATATGTATAAACATATCTTCAGGTGTCTAAATCATACTATGTCAAAATTTAAGTTTTAGTATGACAATGGGATATAACAAAGAGTGACAGCCCTTGATCCAGAGTGTTATTATTTCTGGTCTTCTTGCAGAAAGCTGCTGCGGCTCTGCGGCAGCTGGAGCAGCAGAAAGCAGCTGCGCAGAAAGATCTGGAGCCCCTGGTGTCCCAGGACTCCAACGGCCTGGTATCATCCGCTCTGCCGGACAAACTTAACCAGGCCAAAAACAAGCAAGACAGCCTCGCCACACTCAACGACCTCTACACCAAGAAGTATGATACAGTCCTGCTGTGATAAAGTCTTATGGAATTCTAAATCTAAATCTTTTATTACTATTATCTACAATTATTAGAGATTAACAGGCTAATGCAAATGGCATAATTATAAACATCATCAGTTTTATTATCAATCTTCATGTACTGTATAGTTTCTTACCCGACCATTTGTATGATTAATGGCGAATGCTTGCTTTTGCAGGGCTAATGCATCCATGAATTTGGAAAACCAAATAAAGAAAGTGGATGGAATCGTTTCTGGCTTTGAGAAGCAGCTGAGTAATGATAGTGCTATTTCAGACACTCCCAATGCCCTCCAGAACCGCACACAGAACCTGCAAGTGAGTAGAATTAAGTATTACACACTTAAAAAGATGGTTCTCCAAAGGTTCTCTAGAAAGAGAAATGGTCCTATATAGAACCATGAACACTCAAAGAACCCTTTGCATAATTAAAGGGTTCTTTGCATCTTCAAAGTGTTCCTCAGCTTGATGGAAAGTGTTTTATATGGTTCTGTACATAACCTTTTTGAAAAGGGTTCTATATAGCACCAACAAGGGTTCTTCTATTGTTGCACGCTCAGCATCGTAACAATAGTAGAACCCTTTTCAAAAGGTTATATACAGAACCATCTATAGCACATTCTCTATCAATCTGAAGAACCAATTAATGATGCAAGGAACTCTTAAATCAGGCGAAGGGTTCTTTGAGTGTGCATGGTGCATGGTAAAGAACTCTTAAAGAACCATAATTTTTAAGAGTGTAATGGGTGTGTGCAAATGTTTGGGCACCTCTGGTTAAATTTCATGTTAAACTGCAAGTGAAAGTAAGTGGACACACTGTCTACAGAGAACACACTTATGCACATTTAATGTACAATTACTGTTTATTTACTGAATTGAACACTTTGGGGAAAAAATAATAATAATACTAAAAATAAAAAAGGCACATACATGCATTTTCTATATACACACACACACACACACACACATATATATATATATATATATATATACACAATATATAACACATTATACATTACACATTATTGTGTATAAAATTAAAAAAAGTATTAGTTACAAAAAGTATTTTCCAATATGTTGAACACTAAAAGTTGCTGAAAATGCCACATTTAAGTGTGTTCTCTGTAGAGGATGTGTGAACTCAGGAAAATGTAATTTTACCGGAGACATTCAAACTTTTGCATACAGCTGTACATTCAGATCGATCTGATTGAATCTTGCTTTTTCCTTCTTTTATTAACTACAATTTATATCATCACTTTACATACACCAATATCCACATTGTGTTTTGTACGTATATTGTCCGTATTCACTGTTTGATGATTGGAAAACTTGCAGTAACAATTTCATCGCTATACAATAAAACTTGAAACTTGTCTTTGAAACCTTGTTGCCCATTTCAGTACCACTTTTAACAAGCCCTCATTCACTTAAACAAAAGTGTCGACTGCAGCAGCAGAACTTCCCCAGAAATCACTGCAACCTGACGCATTTCTCTTTTCAAACTCGAAAATAATGGTGGACAAGGCTGTTTATAGGCCACAGTAGTAAACTACTTAATTATTATTAATATTACTAATAATTAACATTTCAAATTTGCTGGGCTTGCTAGGTTACAAACTACTCCATCTGTTATACTTGACTGCTGATAGAACTTCATCACTTTACTCAGCTAGCTTGCTAGATAGCATGCTAAAGGCTACATGGCTAACAACAACAAAAAGAAAGGCCATACAAATTTTATAGCCAGACAAGGCAATTAGACACACATATTATGTATGTTATGTTCAAACTTCTCAGAAAAAAAAAAACATTTGGCATTACAAAGTGTGCATGGCTAACAAATTAGCACACTGAGGCTAGCTTAGCCAAGGGCGAATGCATTCCATTTAAATCACCCTCACTGACCCCTACTTCTCTTCTGCCACAAAGGGCCACTTAGGTAATGTAGGTGTGTGGTGCACATATAAGTGGTGAGCTGAAGTGGGTGAGGGCAAGTTAAAAAAAAGGTATTAAGACAGGGCCCCAGTTTTTCTTCTTGCTAACCTTTGCCATCTTAACCCTCCATCAGAGCTTAAAGAAGGATGTTACTGCTGCTCAGCCTGAGATGCAGAAGCTAAGCAAGGACCTGGAGACCACAGAGAAGCTGTGCAGTTCCCTCCAGCAGGGATATCAGGAGTACTGCACAGATATACGCAGACAGGAAGCTAAGGTTAAAGGCCTGCAGATCCGCTACGCTAACGTCAACAACCAGCTAACGGAGCGGTATGTGGCCTACTGTCACATTATCATGTGGGCAGGTCTACAAATATGGAAGTACTCAGTGAAAGTGAAGCAGTGAAGGCTTTTGGCTAGCAAAATGGTAATGAATTGTTCTGCACATATTTTTTTTTAATAGAGAGAGTCTTCTGCAAGCGGCTGCCACCAAAAATCAAGACTTCCAGAATGCTAGCCAATCGCTGAGTTCCTTCTTAGATAATCTGCCCAACAACAAGGTCAATCCCAATGACAGCTTGTCCCAAGTCAGCGCAAAGCAGAGTTCTCAGGAGGTTAGTGATTTTATTGTACATAACATTGAAGCTACAACATTTGGGTTCTACACTTATCTAATAAATGGTTACAGTCCTAAAATGAGGCCTATCTATTTGATGTTGAACAGAGGGTGGTAGAGGACATTAGAAGGAAAGCTGATGATGTGGACAGGGTGGTTGACCTCTCCCAGGAACTGCAGGACCTCCTCAATGTAAGTTAAATTTATGGTGGATGCAAATGTCTTTCTAAGTACACAATCCCTAAATCACATTGTGTGGCAAAGCATGATGGTCATCATGTAACCTATGTTTATGTTTCTGGCCAGGAATATGAGATTAACTCTGACAAGTACAAGGCTACTGTCAAAAACCCTGATGCAACAGATGCTAAAAGGACACCCACTTCCACCCTGGCTGACTCTGTGGCAAAACAGGTGAGATAAACTGAAAAAGAATGGTGTAACAACATCATAACTCCTTATCAAATGTTCTGAGTTACATTTTGTTTTTCTCTTGTTTTATAGGAAAAGGCTCTGGTGAACCGTTATGCCAACACAGCAGCTGCAAATGACCAACTTCTCAACCAAATGGACATAGCGAAGAATGTTCTTGCTCAGGTATAAGACCTTAAACATGGCTACCTGTGATGTTTTTAAGTTTTAAAAGCTTTCAGTAAATGGTAGGCTGTACTGATTATGATTCTTAAAGCTGGCAGTATACTTCACATGTTGAAAAACTAAACTAAAATCAAAGTACTGCCAAACATGCTGTTGTAAGTATCCTTAAAGCTGCACCAGTAAGATTTTTTATTGAATTTGAAAGAAGTATTTTTACTGAGTCAGGAGGCAAAAATATGGTGTCCAGCACCAGGTCAGTTTGTCGGACCACAGCATATGTCTTTTGTATTAACGTCACACGTACAAGCACAAAAAGAAGGTCCCTTGAGTTCTCTTTTAACATGCACGCAATCATCAGACTGATCCATTAGGGGAGGGTCTGAAGCACCACTGACGTTACAAAATGTTTTTCCACATGTTACATGCAATTACACATTTCACTAGAAAGGTCTCCAAATCCCCAAAATTGAAACAGTGTAGTTTTTTGGCCCAAATGTCGCTTTGGTTTGAAGTAAACGGCCAGCTTAAAGTTAATGAATCTTAAGACAGAACTTGCTGCATAACACGCTGTTTTCCTTTGCTTCCTTTCCATAGAATGAGGAGAAGGTTATGATGGTACAGCAGCAACAACAGCAGCAGCAGCAACAGCAAGAAAAAACCTTTGCAGAGGTTGAGACCTTACAGAAGCAGCTTAACGAGGAAGCTGCCAGACGTGCTAGTGCTGAATCTCAGCTTAAGAACTTCAAGGACAGGGTGTACTCCCTGAGGAGCAGGAAAGGTATTGAACGTGTGGAAGAGAAAGAGGTTCTGCAATACTACCGTGACCCAAAGCTTGAGTCTGATCTGGAGGAGTTTAAGAAAACGCTCCACGAAGAGGCCATGAAACGCACCAGAACCGAAAGTGAGATTGAGGTACTCACTAGAAGGATCACTACTCTGGAAAACGATCTTAAAAACAGCACACCGAAACTGGTGACCAGAGAGGTCACTAAATATGAGAGGGACCCTCAGCTGGATGTGGAGGCTTCAAAACTGAGGAATGAGATAAGCACACTGGTGAATGAGGTCAGACTTAAAGATAATGAAGGAGGTCAACTGAAAACAGAGGTAATCATCTTGGAGCAAAAGAGACCCAGCATCAGAGAGAAGGTAGTACAGAAGGAGGTGGTCAAAGTAGAGAAAGATCCTGAGATGCTGAAGGCGGTCAGGTCTTTTAAGATTGAGATTGAAGATGAGGGTGAGAGGGCCAAGTCTTTGAACAATGAAATTCTCCAAACAAGGAGCCAGATTGGCTCTCTTGAGAGACTCATCCCTACCTTACAGCCCAAAATTGTGACAAAAGAGGTGAAGACAGTTGAAAAAGACCCTGTGCTCATTAGCGATTCCAAAAGACTTCAGTCCAGCATAGAGGAAGAGAGACACCAGAATAATATGCTCACGAGGGAACTGAGTGAACTTCAGTCGCGGTATGTCCAACTTGAGCAGCTGAAACCAAAGGTGGACATCAAGGAGATCGTTAATGAGGTCTACAGGGTTTCCCCAGAGACTGAAACAGAGATGACGAGGTTGAGAAGAGAACTTCAAGATATCACCAGGCAGAGCACTGATTATGAAAGACAAATCAGTTTGGTCAAAATTGATTTGGATGTTATTCGTGCTCAGAAGCCCATAATTGAATACAAAGATGTGGTCAAAGAGGTAGTGAAAGAAGAACGCAGTCCTGAAAATGTAAGAGAGATTCAAAAGCTCACAGAACAAATCAATGGCCTTGAGAGAACATACAATGCCTCCCAAGATGAAGTGAACCGTCTAAAGAGGGAGCGAGACGAACTGAAGGTAGAGAAGTCAAAGGTAGAGACTAAGGTGGTCACTAAAGATGTTGTCAAGCAAATCAATGATCCACTCTTGGAGAAAGAGGCAGACCGACTAAGAAGGGAGGTACGCGAAGAAGCACAGAGACGCAGAACCATAGAGGAACTGGTATTTGATCTTCAGAATAAATACATACAGCTGGAAAGACAGAGACCAGAGGAGAAGGTGGTGGTTCAAGAGATGGTGCGGTTAGAGAAAGACCCAATGCAGCTTATGGAGCATGACAGGCTGGGAAGAACTCTAGATGAGGAGATAAATAATCGCAGAAAGGCAGATCAGGAGGTTCAGCGACTAAGAGCCCTGATAGAGGACAAGGAGAGGACTATTAGGGAAAGTGATGAGAGGCAAAGAAGGATTCAGGTGGAGAATGAATTGACACAAATCAAATCTCGTATCAATGAGCTAGAGAATGCCCCACCACCGGTTCAAGAGTATATTGTTACAGAGGAAGTTCTTAAGGTAGAGAGGGACCCAAAACTGGAGAAACTGACCAGTGGTCTCAGGACAGATTTTGACAGAGAGAGCAATGAGGTCATGCGGTTGGAGAGGGACATCAGGAATGTGAAACTCCAAATAGATATCCTGCAAAAGGAGAAATCGTTTGAGAGAACGGTCTACAAAGAGGTGGTCAGGGTAGAGAAAGACCAAACTGTGGAGGCTGAACGCTCTCACCTTAGAGACCAGGCGCTGCAACAGAAAAACGCCAGATTAGACCTGGAGGATGAACTCCGTCGGCTTACTGAGAAACTGCAGCGACTGCAAAGCAGAAAAACAACTATTTCTCAGGAGGAGACTAACCTTACACTCCAAAGGGATTCCCTTCTGAAAGAAAAACAGGACCTCCAAAGAGAGCTTAGAACTCTGGAGAACGAAAAGAAAGAAACCAGCATCTCATTCCAGCAGCAGTCCAGGCTGATGAGTGAAAAAAGCCAAATGAGCAGACAAAGGAGCATCAAGATGGAGTCAGATGTTCAGCGCCTGGAAAGAGAAATCCTAGATGAGAAGGACAGGATTCACAAGCGAGAGAACACCATAACAGAGCTCCAGAACAGCTTGAAGAAAGAGGAAGTTGCCTTAGAAACTCGCACACAAGAGAAAAATGTTTCCACCAGAATCACCATCCTGGATCCTGAGACTGGAAAAGACATGTCACCCTATGAGGCATACATTCAAGGGCTGATTGATCACAGCCAGTACACCCATTTGCAGGAATTAGAATGTGACTGGGAAGAGATCACGACACTGGGACCTGAAGGGGAAACATCTGTCTTGCAAGATCGCAAGAGCGGCAAGCAATACTCCATCAAGAATGCACTCAAAGAAGGCAAAATTTCTCAGTATCAACTGCAACAATACAAAGACGGCAAGATTCCCATCTCAGAGTTTGCTCTCCTTGTGGCTGGAGAAATGAAAAAAACGCCTTCAATCACTTCAGTCACCAGCCAGAAGACTTCACAGAAACCCTCCTACAGCAACAGTATCTCCACTTCCCTTGATTCGCAGCTTCCTATTTGTGGAGTTTATGACAAAGACACCAATACTTGCCTCTCTGTGCGAATGGCCATGACCCGAAAGATGATAGACAATACTACGGCCCAAAGGTTGCTGGAGGCACAGGCAGCCACTGGTGGTATCGTGGACATCATGAACAAAGAAAGATACTCTGTTCATAAAGCCGCAGATCGTGGTCTGATTGAATCCAGTCAACTTCAACGGTTGCTCAATGCTCAGAAGGCCTTCAGTGGCGTTGAGGATCCGGTAACCAGGGAACGTCTCTCGATTGGAGAAGCCGTCCAGAAAGGGTGGATGCCAAAAGACACTGCCATGCGTTACATGGAGGCACAGTACCTGACCGGCGGACTGGTTGACCCCAACCGAGCAGGCAGAGTGAACACTGTAGATGCGGTTAAAGCCAAAATGATCGACAGCACAATGATGAGAGAGATTCAGGAAGAGGCAAACTACAACAAGGAGTTGACGGATCCAGTTACAAAGCAGAAGGTCAACTATAAGCAAGCAATGGCACTGTGCAAGAAAGACCCAGAGTCAGGGCTTCCCATGCTTCCTGCCTCTTCCAGAGATGCTGTCTACGTCCCTTCATACTACAGCCACAGATCTTCTCCTTACAGCTTCTCCTAGACATGTTTACAGCCAAGTCATGGGCAGTTTCTGCAGTTTTACTGGCACAGTGGAAACATGTTTATAAAATTCAATATAAAACTCAGATTATTGTTCATCTCAGGAAAATGCTGCCAATTCAATGTTGCCAATTACTACATGAGCAGACAAAAATGTTAATGCTGGTACTAGTGAGTCACAGCTAATATGGGCAATTTAGCATTATGTAATCATGCTAACTGATATGCACTGGCTTTCTTCGATTATTGGCTTTTTTGTTAGATTTTTTGTTTTAGATAAACAACATTCTTTTAAAGGCTTCCACTGCTGAGATACTTGTTTACTGAATTTGTATGACAAGAACCAAAAATATATATATATATGAATATTCATCCAAAGAGAGCAAAAGTTTATGAAAATATCATTATCCTTCAAAGTTTTATTTTACTTGGGATGATGGGTTTTATGTGTATGTCAAAACTTTCATTATTTAAGTCTTTCTTTTCAGGAATTGTTCATTAAAATGTTAAATAATAAAATGTCTTTTGTCATACTTTAGTATGTAATGTTTGTTTATACACTATAGCAACCAAATATAAACAAGCAGTACATGTATCATGCTCTTTAGATAAAAACAACTTTATTCATTAAATATGCACATTTACACATATACACACACTGTGTAAACACATAGGTTGTACAGAATATAACTTTTACAGTCACTGTACTCAAACAACAGGATATTTTATTTATTTTATTTTCTTCACCCCTTTGTAAGGTACACAATTTAAACTTGGGTATTCATTAGAAAAGTGTTAGAAAAACAATGGCTTATACTAAACAAGCTTTTCAGGTTTTAAACAGTGCATCACCATATGACTGGGCCAAGTTAAGATTGTGTGATTTCAGCAAATTATTAGACAGCACTAATTTAGAGCTAATATTAAAGTATAGAAATGAGTTAAATCAGCCAAATTAGTCTTAATTTATTAGCATTTTGGAGAAGGTTTATTGTGAAGTGTACCAGTCATCTAGTCAATATAACCAATATTTCCCATTTTGAGAATATTATAAGAATTTTTCACGATTACTTCAAGAAAAATGCTTGAAACAAGCTAAGAGTTAATATAATCACTTAAAACAAGTAAAAATTCTCAAAATTAAAAATATTTGATGCAGTCTTATACAAAAATTTGAACATTCATGGTCAAATGACATGTTTTATTGATTTTCTAAGTGAAAATAAGTTAAATATGCCATTTATGTGTAAATTTTAGTGCACAATTTTTATTCTAAAATATTGTAGATATTACAATATATACAATATATAAAATATTGTAGATATATATTATTATAGACATTACTAGAATATTACATCATAGAATATTCTTTTCTAAAATAAGGAACACAATATAAAATGTGCCAGCAATGGCCACATTTTATGTTTTATTTTTATTATAATAAGTTAAATTCAGCAAATACACAGTAATTGTGCATTAAATTTTGCACAAGTGTGTTCTCTGTAGAGGACGTGTTAATTTATTTACACTTACAAAATCAACCAAACATGTCATTTGACCAGGGGTGCCAAAACTTTGCACATGAGTGTACACTGACTAAGACGTGACGATGATTTCACTTTTTAAGATATAATTTTTTGCAGTTTATCAATGCCATTACTCTTATTTACCTGGTTTACCAAGTAGCTGAACATTACTTTTTACTTATTTAACTGGTAAATTTAAATGTAGACTGTGATGGACCTGCCGTGTCAGATTTCTCAAACTGTTCCATCTGCTTGAAGAAAACAGTTTCTCCAAACTCCACTGCATCTGTCCAGACGACACAGGTGTTTAGAAACAGACACTACTGCGCTCCAGCCTCGTCGTCACGCCCTTTAAAGAAGTTCCTCTGTTCATTTATGGCCTTCTGTAGCAGAGCAACATCAACTCCATCCACACAGTTCAACACTCGAGCACGCAGAGTAGCTTCACTGCACCCTGAAAGGAGAACCAACAACAAGTACACGTGTGTTAAAAATACATGAGCACTAATTATGAACACTAATGTATGAAAAACACTCCACACTCTAAACACTCTAAAGTCCATTTAGACAAGATACTGTCATGTTTACACCTCCAAATCACAGACACGCAGTTGTTTCTTTTATAAATAATCAGTTTTGTTTTCCTGGTATTTGATGTGACCAACACCAGGACAAGTTCCTTATAAACAGTTGTGTGGAAAGGTTTGGGCGCCCCTGGTCAAATTCCATGTATTTGTTGATTTTGAGTGAAAATAAGTGAATACATCCAACAGAGAACACACTTCTGCACATTTTAATACACAATTGCTGTTTATTTGCTGAATGTAATATACTAGGAGAATAAAAAATGTGGCCTGTGCAAAAGTTATCACACATTTAATATGTTACATTTTATTTTTTTTCAAAATGTTAAAATGTTCTTGAAATTCCACACAATTCCTATAAGAATCATACAATAAATTCACATAATTACTAACACATTTAGCAATTTCTGTAAGACAGTCCTAAATTTAAAATAATTTAGAATGATATTATAGATGACTGTATACAAGTATTATAGATTACTCAACACTATACACAAATTTTTCTTTATGGTGCTATTTTGCAGCAAAAAGGGCTCTGCTATTGTTATGATGTCAATCTTGTAACAACAGAAGAACCCATTTGGTGCTATATAGAAGCATTTTCAAAAAGGTTCTATATAAAACTCATGATTCTAAAAAATTGGGATGCTGTGCAGAATGTAAATAAAAATAGGATGCAATGATATGCAAATAAACCATATTCTTAAAGGAAAATACTACACAGACAACAATCAAATGTTGAAACTGAGAAATGTTATTGTTTTTCGAAAAATATATGCACATTTTGAATGTGATGCCAACAACATGTTCCAAAAAAGTTCGGGACGGGCTCAGGTTTACCACTGTGTTTCATCACCTCTTCTGTTAACAACACTCTGTAAGCGTTTGGAAACTGAGGAGACACTGCTGTAGATCTGAAAGTGAAATGTTTTCCCGTTCTTCGTTGATATAGGATTTCAGCTGCTCAACAGTTCAGGTCTCCTTTGTCATATTTTTAATTTTATAATGTGCCAAATCAGTGGTGACCGTTCTGGACTGCAGGCAGGTGAGTTTAGCGCCCCGACTCTTTTAATACTGAGCAATGCTGTTGTAATACATGCAGAATGTGGTTTTACACTGTCTTGCTGAAATAATCAAGGCCTTCCCTTAAAAACGTGTCGTCTGGATGGCAGCTTACGCTGCCAAAAAATGTATATATCGTTCAGCATTAATGGTGCCAGTCACCCATGCCATGTGCACAAATGCTCCCTCAAACCATCATGGATGCTGGCTTTTGAACTGTGCACAGACAACAAGCTGAGTGGTCTTTACCCTGGAGGACACAGTGTCCATGATTTCCAAAAAGAATTTAAAATGTTTATTTGTCTGACCACAAGACACATCTCCACTTCATCTCAGTCCATTTTAAATGAGCTCAGGCCCAGAGAAGGTGGCAGCATTCCTGGATCCTGTTTATTTATGATTTCTTCTTTGCATTTTAGAGTTTTAATTTGCATTTGTGGATGCAGTGATGAACTGTTTTCACAGACAGTGGTTTTCAGAAGTGTTCCTGAACCCATGCAGTGATTTCCACTATAGAATCATGTCTGTTTTTAATGCAGTGCCGCCTGAGGGCCCAAAGATCATGGCCAACAAATACTGGTTTCTGGCCTTGTTCCTTGCACACAGAGATTTCTCCAGAATCTCTGAATCTTTTAGTGATATTTTGTACCGTAGATGATGAAAAACAAAAGCTTTTTGTTATTTTATGTTGAGAAACGTTATTCTTGAATTGTTGCACTATTTGCCCACACAGTCTTTCACAGTGTGGTGAACCCCTCCCCATCTTTACTTCTGAAAGACTCTTTTTATACCCAATCATGTTACTGACCTGTTGCCAATTAACCACCAGGTGTTTTTTTTAGCAATACACAACTTTACTCACCTTTTGTTGACCATTTTGTTTTTATTTATATTTTGCACAGCGTCCCAACTTTTTGGGAAATGCGGTTGCAGAATCATTGCATCTATAAAGAACTCATGATTCTAAATAAGACCATTGCCTGTACTAAAGAACCTTTGAAAAACCACCTTTTTTAAGAGTGTGAGGCAGTTCTAAAAGAAAGCAATATTATAATAATAACATTTATATAGATCATTATATATAAGTATTCTACTTTACCGTAAGACGGTTCTAAAATAAACTCATATCATAATATTACACACACCTAAAGGTTCTATATAGAATGAAAAGGGTTGTGCTACTGTTACAAGCTCATTTCATAACCATAGTAGAACCATTCTTGGTGCTATATAGAACCCTTTTCAAAAAGGTTCTATATAGAACCATCTACAGCACATTCTCCATCAATCTAATGATGCATCAATCAATTTCATGATGCAAAGAACCCTTTAATCATCTAAAGGGTTCTTTGAGTGTTCATGATTCTATATAGAACCATTTTCTTTAGTAAAATACTGAGAAGAACCATCTTTTTTAAGTGTGTAGATTATTACATAGAAATATTACAGGTGTGTTCTACAGCAGTACAGAACACTTTCAGCTTTTCCGTCAGTGCTTGTGAGAACAGACTCACCTTCTGACTTATCAATCTCCCCCAGTGTGAAGTACTGCGCCCCGATTATTGGATCAAAAGGCTCCACGAATGTTGTCTGTACTGACACCTGGTGCTGCACAGATGCATGATGGGATGTCAAGACAGCTTTCGACTCCTCTGGCAGGTAACTTGTGAGCCTAGGGACAGAACACAGGTCAGGGGTCCATTTTGTTCCAAAACTTCCAAACAAAACAATGAAATTCACAAGATAAAAATTATAAGAGTGTAAGAATGTAAAAAAATACAAATAATAAGAATTAAATTATATTTTCAAAAGCCATTCAGGACCTTTATTACTGTTAGCAGTCATATGGGTCTAATTTTTATAGAGCTGTCAGTCTTTGCTTTTCCTTCTTTTCACGTATTTTGCTTTTTTTGATGTTCTTCTGTTTCTGGATTTTTTTGTACTTAATGTTCTGTGTGTTTTCTTATTTATTCATTCATTATTCTTGTTATCACTCTATAAGCACTCGTCCTGGGACCTCGTTTACAGAACACCTGCACAGAGGAAATTTACAATAGACAATCATATGTTAAAATTTGCCGGTATCCTACACTTTTCTTGTATTTTACTTTTCACTCTCTAATGTGTGGATTTATGTACCAGTCATAATCAATTTCTACACGTCCATTTCCAACCTCTCTTTATCCCTTACTAGGTTCTGTGCAGGTACATTTTTCTTTCATCAAGGTACAAACAATGTAAATGTTCCCTCAAAAGGTTTACCAGTGGGTTGAAGGCCCAATTGCGTACCTTAAACATGTTTTAAAGTACATATTTGTACTTTTTCATAAACCAATATTTTAGAACAATAAAATAAAAGACAGGGTGTGTGGAGTCAATACAACTTAGAAAATATAATTTCAATGGATTATGGTATAATTATGTTTCCTGACTAAAGGTACTGAGATGTACCCTTGATGGTACCACCCCAGCGACAAGAGGGGTACTACCCCAGTGACAGTTTCGTACCTTTATTTCTGAGAGTGTAGAATTAAAGAGACTGTTGATATATGTAAATGAATTCTAATTGGCTGCTCTATATTATACCTCCTTCAGAAAGCAGGCTGAAACGCTGTTTAAAACTTCAGTGCGAGTGGGCGGAGTTAAACTGCAGCAGGCCAAATAGGCCTAAATGGTGTAAATGTGCTGGTTTTCATGATATCACAAATAATAATACAATAAATACAATAAATCAGGATGTTTTGTCAGCTTATTTAAGCTCATTTCACAGCAGAAATGGCAGTGACACACATTTGGAGCTCAAAGATATGCTTTGGGTTTATTTTTGACATGCATGCTGCAATTTCTAGGCAGAAACAGTAGAAAATGCAGTGTTTGTGCTATAATATACAAAAAAATCAACAACTGTAGTTTTGACTCTGTGAGAGGGTGACAAAAATCACCTATGCAGGCTGATAGATTACGTTCCAAATCTGTGTTTTAAGATGATCTAGTGCTGCCTTTCTCCATATTCCACGTATGAAACTCTAAAGAGCGGAGAGGCAGCGTTGTGTTTTAACGCACCAAAGATTCGGAACACATTACCAATAAACATCCACCAGGTTCCTTCTGTTAATGGTTTCAAAAAACAGTTAAAGACACATTTCTTTACTCTGGTATCTAACTAGTTTTTATTGTTTCTCTTGTTTTTATTGGAAAATTACTTTTACTTTCTTATATTTTTATTAGATTTTTATTTATACTTTTATCTGGTGTTTAAATTTTAAATGTTAATATACCCCCTTTTCTGTTATGAATTTATTTTTGGTGTATTTTTTAATAATTTATTTTATTTTTTAGTAGTTTTGATTCCCTTTTTTTCTCTTCTTTATGTTGTTTTTACTTTTATGTTGTACTGTAAAGCACTTTGCGCTGCAATATTAATGTATAAAAGTTGCTATATAAATAAAGATTACTATTACTGGTTGTAGTAGATGCTACTACAGGCTTGGAAAAAGGGGGGTGAGGGAGGGGGATTCATTTGGTTGCAATCTGCAAACTCATCACTAGGTGCCACTCAAAACACACTCTGCACATTTAACAAATGCATGTAACTGAGTAAACTGGGTTGTGTTGTTTCAATGAAATTAAGTGAGTTGTCAGATTTAGAGAAGTGTTTGTTTGTTCAAAGTAACCTAGTAATCGTCCTTCAGACTGATGGAGAATGTGCTGTATACGGTTCCATATAAAACCAAAAAATAATTCTTCTGTTGTAACAAGCTTGACGTCGTAACAATAGAAAAACCCTTTTAAATGTTATATGGAACCCTTTTCTTCTCCATCAATCTGCAGAACCCTTTCATGATGCAAAGAACCCTTTAATCATACAAGGATTCTTTGAGTGTTCATGGTTCTATACAGAACCATTTTCTTTACTAAAAAACCCTTGAAAAAAAAATCGCTTAACTGTGTAGAACAGCTCAGTAGTACATTAATAACTTTACAAAATTCTGACTTAAACCTAACTTTTTTTCTTTAATTAGTATGTTACTCAACTGAGCATATGAAAAGCTACTCAACACAGTTGTGTGGAACCACTACACAGAACATTAAGTAAAATTTCATTTTTAGGTAACACATAAAAACAATCAGTCGAGTTAATTAGAATTGACTCAAATCCCTTCAGTGTGATTCACCTGAATTCGTTAAGTTTGTACAGCATTACTTAATCGACTATCTTAGAAGCAGCTTAACACAGCCGCATGGAACCACTACCATAACATTTAACACTTTTTGAGTGTACATCAAACTCTTATTTTGAAAAAGAGAGGAAAACTCTTCCATGACGTGGGCCCTCGAAGTCACACGTGAATTTGGTCATACATGAAAATGTGAGTTTGTCAGCGCAAACTCACATTTTCAACGCAATGAATGTTTCATAGTGCCAACGTGTTAAAGCATGTGATTCGTGAACACTGGGCCTCATTCACAAACCTTTCTTAAGAAATTTCTTCTTAAACCCACTTACACAGTTTTTAAGATTCTGACATTCACCAATGTTTTTTTACTTGGGACTTGTTCTTCTCAAAGGCGAAGTTCTGTGGTTTAAGAACATCATGAATCTGACATAGACTTTATCTTAGCACCTTTCTCAAGAACACATTTAAGAACAAACATAGGAAGATACTGGTGAATGAAGCTCAGTGTGCTTTTGAAGGCAAACGCTAAGAACCAGAGACAATATGGGAATCGTGGGCCGATATAATAGTTTTCATGTACATATCTGTCTATGCCAAAACATAAACATTTATAAGTGTAGAAAATTGAGAATAAATCTACCTGGATTAGCATCACAGAGAGATATAATATTTACTGCAAGGCTACAAATACAGTCTCTCAGCCTTTCTGGGAAAAAATGGGCCTTATATTTAAAAAAAAACAAAAAAAACAATACATTTCTTCTGTTTCAGCATTTGATATGTTGTCTTTCTACTACTTATAATTAAATTATAGGGCCTAAATAATTTGCAAATCATTGCATTCCGTTTTTATTTCCATTTTGCACAGCGTCCCAACTTTTTGGAAAACTGGGGTTGTATAAAAAGCTCATGGTCCTAAACAGAACCATTGCTTTTACTAAAGAACACGTGAAGAACCATCTTTTTAAAGAATGCATAAGTATTACAGGAATATTCTATGTAGAAAAAAACATTATGGGATGTAAGGAATGTAACTTCTAACCTCCTGGTGACTAAACAGAAGTGTTTACCTGCCGAATGTGCGAACTGAAGCTCCATCTTTCACCAGGTGAGTGTTGATTTCCCAGAGAAAGTGGAAAACTGCAGGTGAGGGAAGCATCTCTACAGTCAACTTACTAAACCAGACACACTAAACACCATAATTCAGACCGCTCCGTGTTTTGAGTGATTATTGGTCGTTTTGGGAAGAATATCAGAGTAAAACATGATCACCAACGTAAGCAGAACGTAGTAAAACAAACTTTACAACGCTCAGAAACATTCATAAGTCAGAACTGTCTTAAAACACAACACACTTCCATCTGAACTGCATTTGTAACAGAGCCGGTTTCTGTTTCTAACGCGCTACGTCACGTCAAGGCTCCGCCCCATACTTCTCGCGATTGTGATTGGCTGCGGTAAGACTTTCCGAGCATGTGACCCATTCCGCGTTCACGCAAGGCACCTACCTAGAGCACTTCGAAGGGAGCACACTCGCCGCGGCCATTTTGCAGTGCCAGGCCAAATGGGAAACCAGTGTTAGCTATAGCAACCAGCAACTCTCAGCGAGTTTTTCTTTTCACATCACACAAATATAGGCATTTTATTCAGTTAATAACTGAAGACAGGCGGCTCATTTGTAAGTGATTTTTCAAAGGTTTATCCCTTAAGACAATGTTAATCATGGAAGCTTGAACTTTAGGCACAATATTTAATCACATAAATAGCACAACAGTCACAACAAATAGCTGCTGTTTACATCAGATCCTCTTTTAATTTGGCTACTTGTGGCTGTTCTCCATTCAAAGATTTACATTTATGAGGAAACCTAGCAAAATGTAAGAAAAAACAAAAAACACCAAAAAACTATACACTCATGTCAGAGTACCTCCAAATCTAAATGTTCTAGTTTTCCTCCTTGCTCATTTTCTTTCGTTTTTATTTATCTGTTTTCACCTTGTCTTGCATGTTTTCAGTATGTTTTTTGTAATGCTACTTGTGTAGTGTCACATTATTTTTTTTTGTTTTCTGTAATGTATTTTCTGTTGGTTTTTTACCCTTTTCGCACTGTGTTCTTTACTGACACAAAGCAAAAAACAAACAAACAAACAAATAACAAAAGCTGTTATTTACTTGCTTACATACCTGAAGAAACGCTTTCAAAAAAGTAACCAGTGGTCTTGATGGTTTTGACAGGCTCTTAAATGATGTTATCGCGGCTGTGCTTACTTCGTATCTAACTTTTTTCTTTCTGTTGTTGAAGTTAGTGATGGCTGGTCAACTATATACTGTAAGTTGTGTTTTTTGAAAATTCGCCTTAAATGGGAGAACACCTACAGATGCCATTAGAAAGCCCTTAAATGCATCAAATACCATTACTAACCATCAGACGTCATTACAAAACCACAAGGAACAAGCCTGGGGGGAGGGTGGGATTTTGATGCTAAGAGAAAGAATTGCAAGGTATTTTCCATTGGGATGAGTGAGAAATGTTTCCCACTAAGGTAGTAGCTATTCATTTCAATGGGCACAAAACGAGAAGAGTCAGCGGTCATAAAGTGCACTGTGCATTATTGCAAATAACAGAATGACAGCAGCAATAAATGTATGTGTGTGTGTGTAGAGTTGAGTGGGGTTCAGTAAGTAATGTGTCTATTATCCGGAGTTCAACCAGTCAGAGTGATGGGAAGAAGCAGTGTGTGAAAGAGTCGTTCACAAGCCTGATAGCCTGTTTGTCCTGGACTTCACACTCCTGGTGGTAAAAGTGTGAAGGGGCTGTGTTGGAGGTGTGTACCGTCCCTGATGCTGTGTGCCCTTCTGATGACCCTGGTGTGGTGAATGTTCTGTAGAGAGGGGGAAGCTGCTCCTAAAATGGACTGTGCAGTTTTGACCACACGCTGGAGAGCCTTTCTGTCCTGAGCAGTGCAGTTTCCATACCAGACTGTGATGGAGCTGGTAGGAAATGTAATTTAATCGATTCATTTTAATCCATTCATGGTGGAGGGATACATAAGAGGGTTCTAAGGCCAAATAGTCCCCAAAGAAAACTTTTCACCCAGATTTTCCACTATTTTACAATCTTCAACATTCCATATAAAACTCAGAAGACACATGTTGGTTCACTAGTGGTTTTGGACAGTAAATAAAATGGCTATTTGTGTTGTAGACAAGGTGACCCCTGGTCCCTATCACCACCAGTGTAAAGATATCTGAATCTCTACAATGAATCGTTTCAAACCAAACCACTTTGTTTACATCTCAACCACTGAATTGAACAGAAATTGGGTGGAATTCCCCTTTAAAACAAAACAGGTCTTATGACGGTGTAGCTGAAAATCACAGGGCCCCCTCCTGAACTATGCGAGGTGGCTCATGGGAGGTGTGCGCCCTCTGGAAAAGGGACTGTTTATTGTTATTTATGTTGTGTTCTGTTAGCTTAAAATGTGTGCACGTGTTATTATAGTACTTTTTTTGTCAAGCAGTGGGTTCAGGTACTTAGGGTGAGTGTCCACCGTGAAAGAGGTGTATGGCTGGTGATGACCTCCCTGCTTCTTGTGCTGTGTTGTTATGAACGTTTTCTGTCTGATGTTTAATAAAAGAGCACTTTTTCGACACAGAATCTGTGCCTTACTTTATGCCGATGCCAAAATATTTGAAAGCAAACAGATAACATAGTTACAATTCTAAATATACAGGGATGTGTCATGTATCAGCAATATAAATATGATCTATGCATGAACATCCAAAATTTGTAACATAAATGCACATCTCTGTTGTCGGAAGAAAACCTCGTATCTCCAAAATGGTAACTTTAAAGGAGAAGGGAAAAACCTACTTTACTTTTACTGCAAGTCAATGGAACCAGACTTTTTTCCAAGTAAATTTGGGCCATTTCTTTTGGTCCATTCTTCATGAAATTTACACATAATGTAAAGAGTAACAGGTATTTTCAAATTATGTCAAAAACTGAAAACGACAAAAATGCCGATACAAGGTTTTCTTCCAACAGCAGCGACATATTATTTGAAAAATATGCCTTGCCCTTTATGATATATGTGTACATATGTGGCCCTATATCAGATTTCCGTGTGGGCCTCCCTAGTTTTGCGCCATGTAATCCCTTGTCTACGTAGGAGAAGGGAGTAGGGCGCAGGGCGTAGGGCACTAGCAGGCGCAGTTCGGAATAGAACGCGCCCTCATTGTATCCCTGTTGCGGAACTTGCTCACGTCTAGCTAGGCCAGAGTGGACCCATTAGTTACACAACAGGTTCACGACAGAATAAACGCTTCATTACGCCGCTGCTCGTCTTTACCTTCAGCCATGAATCCTGATATTCGCCGAGAACGAGAAAATGCCACGTTTAACACGGAGATCCTCACCAACATACTGGACGGCTGTGCAGAGAAGACCAAGAGGAGAAGAGAAATAGGTCTGATACAGTTTATCCGTCCAGCTTTCAACATGCTCAGCAGTGGAGTTACTGGCTGCAGGGCCGTACAGCTCTGATAGAGCACTTAAAAAATATACACTAACGTTAGATACGTTATTTTACTAGCCTAATTCTGTTACACTTCTTTCAAAAGCTCTTTTAGCACTTTCACTGCTGCGTAAGGCTAGTAGGTAAAAGGTGATGGCATCTTTCTACACACTTAAGTGTGGCGAGGGTTCTTTAGTAAAGGAAGTGGTTCTATTTAGAACCATTTGCATGCTTAAATGGTTCGTTGCATGGTGAAATGTTTTTTTTCAGGTTGATGGAGAATGTGTTATATATGGTTCTATATAGATTCTTAATGAAAATGGTTCTATATTGCACCAAAAAGGGTTCATGCTTGATTCTGCTACAGTAGAGGAACCCTTTGTGGTGCTATACAGAATCATTTTCTAAAAGGTTCTATATAGAACCATATACAACACGTTCTAATCATCCTGTCCGAAGAACCATTTCACCCTGCAAAGAACCATTTAAGCATGCGAATGGTGCTAAATAGAACCATCAAAATAGAGCAATGGCTGACTCACATAGGAAGAAAATCATGCTACGTGTAATAATGGCAACACATTTCAACTTACAATGATGTGAAAGAGCTCACAGCTTGACCAAAGGAAATATCTAGCACGCTTTATTTACTTTTAAACGTTTTTAGTTTTTATCTGTAGAGTGAAAATGTATGGATTTGCTTTTGAACTCATGTTGAAGTCAGTCATTTACCCAGGAGAGCATAATCTGGAGCACATTTATATAAGACACCTCATGCCAATGACCCCCGCTCTGACCTTCTGCTATTGTTTGCCTTCCTGTCCGCTGTATCAGAGTCTCTGGTGGTCAGTGACCCTGACTTCCAGCACGATGACCTGAACTTCATGTCCCGCAGCGAGCGTTACGATGCCGCCGTGAAGAAGAGCTCCCAGATGATCATGAAGCTCAGAGATTATGGCATCTCTGACCCAGAGGAGATTTATTTCTATAAAAGGTACTGTTTACTGTGACCCCCACACGACAGGACCCTGTCTAAGTACCCCATCTGCAAGTTCATCACATCTGCTTTCACTTTCACTTCGTTTTGTATTAACACTGTGGAAGACATGGTTCGGCAAGACGCTTGAACTTGAACAGGCAGAGGACAGCCACTGTAATTTCAATATCATAAATGATAATAGCTTTATTTATATTGCACTTTCCAGCTAGATCAGTTCAACATGCTGTACAGCACTAAAAATGAATGCAGGTACAGAAAATACATAGATTTTGTGTTAGTGGCATAAAATATTCACTGTCTTTTTTATGCCACAAAAGCTTGTTTTTACATTAGTATGTATATATAATGCATTTTTTTTTAGGTCTATTAGTGCACACACCTGCATTTGCTTACCATTTATATTACATAAATCCCTGATCTTTCACACATTACTCATTGAGCAATTTACATTTGATGCAAAGTTTTCTAAACTACTTCTCTGTTGTCCTTGACTTGTAATAACCCCAGAAATCAAGCCAAATCTCCTCTTAGTGCAAAAAGGGTCTGAACAGTGGGCGTGAGCATCTTTTTATTCATTGTATTGGTTGAAATGCACATTAAATGTTAGATATGAATTTTCTGGTGGAAGCCTGGTTGGCCCTTTTATTAAAATGTTGTGCCAGTGGGTGTATAACCTGTTCTCTAGCCAAGTACAATCATCTGCAGGTACCTGTGTACATGTTATAGTGCACGGCAGGATAGACTGAGCAAAGGGCAAAGGTTGAGTTCAGATTAAATATGTGTCAAAGGTTGTCAACTTTAATCACAGCATGCCTCGTCATGCTAAACATGTTTATGACTCTGATTAGGAAATAATGTGTTGTATAAAATACAGTTCTGTGGAAAATCAATCAAAGTATGCTGTATTTAGTGTGTCTGCCCTTTACCTTACCTATAGCTTCCATTCATTTTAGGAGACTCATTTTCTGCTTTTTACAATCAAAGTAATCCCAGTTACAAATTTAGACTCAGTCTAACATCTCTTCACATCTCAGATGCCCAGTTTCAATGTTGTAGTGCAAATGTAGCATCATCTCACACCCTCTCCCTCCAAGATGAAAGCTTTATGTGTTGTTGATCTGATTTGGCAGTTTTATCTCAGCTCCATCCTGAGCTTTGAGACTTGGCTACTGACAGAGAAGCAATTTTAAAAGGTTTTATTCCAGTACTGTATATAGTATGGGGTTTGTTAAGGTGATGGACAGTGTCATGGTGCTTTATTTACATATACTGTAGGTTGGATCATAGTTCCAGGTTAACTGTAGTGTTTTAGTGAGATGCTTCCACTGGCCAAGTCTTATACTGTAGCTTGAGATACATGTGCTCCAAATCGTGACTTCTGTGCACTCACTGGCCACTTTATTAGAAACACCTACCTTCTGCTTTCACTCTGGCCACTTTATTAGAAACACCCACCTCTGTTCTCGGCACAGCAGTGACACAAACATGGTAGTGTGTGTGAGTTGTTACACAAGCCGGTATCACTGCTGAGTTGAGAGTACACCACTAACTAACTGTACACCAGCAATGCGGAGCTACATGGGAGGGGTTTTTGATAAAGTGGCCAGGGAGTGTACATTCAGACAAATACCACAAATGGAGTAATGGGAGCTTGTTGTGCTGGACAGTGATCCTAAGATAATGAAGTACGTGGCGTAGCTAAGGTATGTGTCCGTTCCTGCAGAATTGCACGAGGAAACTTCCACGAGGCTTTCGGTCTCCACTACACAATGTTCCTCCCCACGCTGTACAGCCAGTGCACTCCTGAGCAGCGCAAGAAGTGGCTGCCACTGGCCGAAAACTTCAAGGCACTCGGCACCTACGCCCAGACTGAGCTGGGGCACGGTCAGTCCCTGTCATGCAGAGAATCATGGGATATGTAGTTCTTTGAGTAATGGTGGTCCAGAGGGAATGAATGGCTGAATAATTAAATGGTTTCTGTTCAGGTTTTTGTGGCTGGTGTTTGACAGCTGTTGTTGTTGGTTGGTAGTTTTTTGTCTCTCTGAATTTCAGAGCACTTTCTGTAGTTCAGACTGGGCTGGTGGTCACCCTACTTGAACAAGTTTTACTTTAACTGAAACTCTGAGAGAAGGACGTAGTCTCGGAATGAAAACCCTCCCACAGAATCTACTTCTTTTTCTTTCTCTTTTGTTTCATTTCTCTTCTCAACTTCCTGAACTGCTAACCTGATCTGTATGCCTGCATGGGCCGGCCGTGGAAAGAGCTTAAAGCTTTTGTGCATGTTGATGGTGAATGTTTGATTATACTTCTTCATTTCCTTTAATCTTTCAACAGCAGATTATGTCTTATGGCATCAGTAGATCTCTTGAAAAATGCTTATGTTGAAGCTAGAGATGCGGGTGTTAAGGGCAAAGCCAATGACTTTTTGATGCTCTTCTTTTTTGGTCTGTTCTGGGTTAATGGCTGCTGTTCGTCATGGCGTAGTCATGGGTTGGTCAATCATGGAAAAACTTTGCCAGAACAACCGAAACATAAGCAAGGCTAATGTTAACTAAATCACCAGTAGCATGGTAGAAATAATGCAGTCATGGGCTGCCAACTCTCTCAATGTAGAGCACATGTTCAGTCCACAGCGATGCCACAGTCGTACGTGACCAGAAGTCCAAAAGAACAGAAAAATTACCTTGCTACACTTGTGAGGGTCCTCCCTCTCCCCCATTACTCAGCACGATGCTAGCTAATGTTGGCCTCTGTTAACTAACATAACAGAATTGGCAGTAAGGCTGAGTTTAGATGGCGGCACGTCGCACTACACACTGAATGGAGAGAAAAAACTTGCATTTTCTTTTGGAGGACAGGAAATCTGGCAGGCTTTAGGCCCAAAACATACTTCACGCATTTGTGTTCGCAAAATTGGCTTACATAAACATAAAAAAATATGATTCATTATCGCCTTTCCATTCCAAAGCAGCTCTCTCTTCTCTACTTGTCCATGTTTCGTTGTTGAGGCACCTGTTTGTCAAGGTCTTTTAGCAAACCTCAATAATAGCTCTCCAGTTCAGTTTTACCCAACCACGTTATTGGTTATCCCAACAAAAGTGACACATGACGAGTGGAGCTTTTCCGCTTTAGCATTGTTCAACTCGATCCGCGGTTGGAAAAAGCTGATTGAAATTTACACAGAGGAAGGCCGTTAGTCTTTTAAATAAACAGACAAATGCTACGCTATCTCAGCTAATGTTGCTATTCTAGTCTTTTTCACGGATCTTTTAGCTTGAAAACAGCGAGTTTATGAAGTAGTAAAGTGATTTCAAACATGGAAGTTTTTATTTAATTCAATTTATATGAGTGGAGTGTAAAAATCAATGTGATTGTGAGGTTTATAGGTGTTATGCTATGCTACGCTATACGATGCCGCGCTACGTGGTGCTATGCTATGCGATGCTGAGTGCTGCAGCCTTAAAACCTTTTTCTTTAAGCTGGTGAAAAGACGTTACTCTTTTCCGCACACATAAAATATCAAATGAACTTATGACAAAGTGCCAGATAGCAGTTTTGCTGCATTTATTTGCAATTTTGTTTGAAGGTCAGGTTGGACCCAACGTGAAAAATGGGCTGATTTTGAGAGGAACGTAGAGCAGCTCTGTAGAGGGGAGCCAGCGTCTGAGACAGAAGATACTAGCAGGGGGAACCTGGGCCATGCTAGTGCACAGAGTAGGAGACTTCATGTGAAGCTGTGCCAGATCAAGTGGTTCAAAACCATTAGAGGAAAGCGAGATTACAAAGTTTTTCCAATTTAAAGCCCTGTATCTATTAATTATACAGGGAGATTCACTTGAAAGAGGCCCCGAATATTTTGTTGTAACTCCCGTTAGGTTGAAGTAATATGAACAAAAAAAAAACGCTACATACCTTGAAGTATCTGTAATCGAGTGCATTACATGCGATACTGGAAGTGATCTCCGTTTTCTGCCAGACACATTTCGACACGGCGCTCCATGTTCCTGAACGTATCGGTAAGCATTAGAGAGGCTGTGCCTACCTCATCAATTACAGTCATGATTATGATGTTTTTGGTGATTTTATGTAGTACAGCAGCGCTTTTGTCAAATGTAGTCAATTAGCCAAGACATGTTTGGTGCCGGAAGTTTGCTTCTTTAGTTTAGTACTGGAGATGTTAGTAGCTAACGTCGCTTGCGTTGTGCAAACTGCATGTCTGAATGTCTGAATACACTTGGCTGAAACCGTGTCTGCTTGTTAAGTCATGTCAGATAGACTTGTTTACGTTGTTTGTGATGCTGAATGACATACTATTATAAAATGAGTTAAAGTATATTTCTAAAGCCTGAATCTTCTCTAGGAAGGGTTGTTAATTTTTAAAGCATCTCCCTGAAGTTCATTCCAGTTCTACACCAAATGTGATCTATTCAATGAATGTTATGCTAAATCTATTTTTTTTTTGTCCCTGCACTTTTGATTGGAGACTGACACCTTCACATATTCTAATATTAAGGTCGCTGGGTTTTCAAATCAGAGGTTCCACCACAAAATTCACTTAATTGTCATCCAGTAGCAGCTTAATAAGTTCATCTCACTGGTTTGCACTAATTTAACCACTGATAATTAAACTGAGTGGCTGGAATGTTTGATCAGCACCAAGTCTTTTGTCTCTCTCTCTCTCTCTCTTTTCTCTTTCATCCATTTCTCTCTGTCCATCTGGGATCTTACTCTAACCATCTCTATCTGCTAAACGTTTCACGTATCCTTTTATTCATACTGTTTTCCATCTTCTTTTTCCTCTGTTCTTTTCTGTAATTTCCTTTTCCGCCCTTCTTACTTTTGTGTACACTCGCTTCCTTTTTCCATCTTTTTCCATCCACTTTCAACTTTCTTTTGTATCTTTCATTCTGCCCCCCAAAACTGCCCCTTCACCTTCACCCTGAACTCAGATGTGTCCATCGTGGTTTTTCTGAGCCTCTGGACCTGCACCTGGGGATGTTTCTGACGACCCTGCTGAACCAGGCTTCTCCCACACAGCTCGACACCTTCTTCACACCCGCCTGGAACCTGGAGATCGTCGGCACTTATGCTCAAACGGAGCTGGGTCACGGTAAACAACCTGGCAACCCATGCGAGCTGCTTTGACACCACTTCTGAGACATTTATTGTGGATCTGGGTGGCAAAACTTTATCTGGCATTTAGCTGGCATTATTTATCTACATATTTTTTTTGTTCATTTATAACGTGAGCTTGAGGTATTTTCGATAAAATGATGCGGTTCTGATCCTCAATTCGCCAGTGAAAGCTTGAGCTGAAGTCCTTATAGGAAAGCTTGTTTACTCAGCCGCCGTTTTGGCAGTTATTTTCAGTCATACAAGACCAGACTCCTGTTTGTTTGAACGGGGGGAGACGTAAACAAATCGAAACTGAAGGCCAAATTGCTGTTTCAAAAACATTAGAAATCACTAACAGAATTCTGACTCATAGTTTGTAGCATTTGGCTCAATAATTCACATAGTGTTTTTTTTTTTCGGTTTGGCTACTACACTTGCGCAGATCTCTGCAGTGATTCTCTGGAAATAGACGTCATGTTAAGTGTTCCGAGCTTTTTCATTCGTAAATGTGAACATTGTTATCTGATGCTGCTTTTCAAACTCCAAAAATGGCAGACAAAGCTGTTTGTAAGGGTATAAAACCCTGAGCAAGAAGAAGCTTTAGAATATTTCATAATTAAAAACTTAAACATTCACTTTGCTGTTTGGAAGTTGAGCTTTATGTAGCAAACTGCTCCATCTGTTACTGCAATTCTGCTAGCTAGCTAGTTAGCACGCTAAGGGCTGAAGCTAGTAATAACAAAAGAGAAGGGCAGTGCACCACAGTCCTCATCCTGAACTTGAAACTCAGGCCAGTCAGAGCAATAATTTACAGAGTTAGTATGCATTGTATGAATTCTCAAACTCCTCAATAAAGGATTGAATTAGCTTAGCTAATGATGCTAGCATAGCGTGCATTCCTGTTGAAAAATTGTGTGTGTCCCAATTCAGGTGCTGCATCCTTCGAAGGATGCGGTCTACGAAGCCGTGTTCTTCGAGGGCTGCGTAGACCCGCGAAGGCTGAATCAAAATGAGACGGTCTGCTCTGTGGCGTCACAGCATCGCTGTCCCCACCCTTACCGTTGCGTCACGAAACGCCGCTCCTGTCAAGTTTTTTTTTAAGCTCTTTAAAGATGGAGCCAGAAACTTTATTTTTGTTTTATTTTTTCATAGAGCTGGAGATGCTTCACTGCCAGCACCTGCAGCAGTGCATGGTGTATCTTAGACTAATGAGATTGGCTTTTTTAACGTGTATTTTTAGCTATTCGACTCAATTTAAACCCAACACTTTAATTTAAAATGTACTGCTCAACCGCAGTTCACTCCTCTGCTGATGCTGCCATGTTCTCGAATCCTCGCCAGCACACCATAAACCTTGGGATACGTTGGCTGGCGAAGCATGTACCCGTTGGATCCTTCCTTGCCGTGGAAAAGAAGGACACACTTCTCGACCGCATACGAAGGAGCCTTCGAAGTGGGACAGCCAATTCGCACCACTGTGACGCAATCAGCCTTCAGAAGCAGCCATTGAATTGGGACGCAGCAATTGACTCCTCTTTGACCCATCCGCCCACGCCTTGTCCTGAAGGTGGTGTCTAGCTCTCAACACTTTTCAACAGCAAGTAAAAGCCGTGTTTAGTGGTGCTGTTTTGATTCTAACAGAGACTAACGAGTCATGACGAGTTGGTTTGGAGCAATTAAGTCTATTTTTGTCTTTGGGCTAATTGTGCTGCATGTTGTTTTGTGGGTGAGTATGAACTCTACGTGCCTCAGTATAATGGCCACGCTGGAAAAGGAATCTGCTCTTGGGAACACGGCCAGACTCTAGAGCCAACACGCGATCCTCAGCGGCCTTAGAGCTCCTTCTGTCGGAATCTCCTGGAGCTTTACAAATCCTCCTCTCAGAGTTTCTGGAGCTTTTTAAATCCTTTTTCTTAAAGTGGGCTTCCAGAGCGCTGACCCCCCTCTGTTTTGGCTTTTTTCAGTGTGCCTTTTTCAACAGAAAGGCCAGGAAAGAAAAAGTAACTGTTTCATTGTGGCTGTCAAACACCTGCTAGACTTAGTTAAATGTTCTTTTATCAGTATTGAATTAATATTTAATTAATGTTTTGATTAACTATTGATTAACTGTTGATTAACTATTTTGGACTGTAGAAAATTGGAGAGTTTTAGATTCTCTGATTGTTGTTGTAGGGCATACTTCTCTCTCTCTTTCTCTCTCTCTGTTTCTCATTCTTATTGCTTCTCTTTATGTATGTCCCTTTGTCTCTGTCATTCTTTCTCTCTCTCTCTCTCTCTCTCTCTCTCTCTTTCTCTCTCTCATTCCTTCTTTTTCTGTTTTGTCTCTCTTTCTTTTTCTCTTTCTTACTCACTTCTTTCCACTCTCATTCTTTCTCTCTTTCATTCCCTTCCCCTCTCGTTCTCATTGCTTCTCTTTCTGTATGTGTCTTTGTCTGTTTTTCATTCTTTCTCTCCGTTTCTCTCTTCTTCCCACTCTCATTCTCTGTCTTTATCTCTTTCATCCCCTTCCTCTCTCTTTCTCATTGATTTTCGTTCTGTATGTCTCTGTCTCTCATTTTCTCTCTCTCTCTCTGTCTCTGTCTCTCTCCCCTCCCCACTCTCATTCTGTCTTTATCTCTTTCAGTCCCTTGCTCTCTTTCTCTCTCATTCTTTGTCTTTCATTCTCACATTACCTCTCTTGCTCTCCATCTGTCTTGCTCTTCTTCCCATTCTCATTCTCTTTCATTCTCTCTCTCTCTCGCACTCTCTCTCACACACTCTCTCTCTTCCTCTCTCTCTCGTACTCTCTCCTCTCTCTCTCTCTCTCTCGCACTCTCTCTCCTCTCTCTCTCTCTCCTCTCTCTCTCTCTCGCACTCTCTCTCCTCTCTCTCTCTCTCTCTCTCCGTCTCCCTTTCTTTCTCTCATTCCTTCTTTTTCTGTTTTGTCTCTTTCTTTTTCTCTTTCTTACTCTCTTTCCACTTTCATTCTTTCTCTCTCTTTCATTCCCTTCCCCTCTCGTTCTCATTGCTTCTCTTTCTGTATGTGTCTTTGTCTGTTTTTCATTCTTTCTCTCCGTTTCTCTCTTCTCCCCACTCTCATTCTGTCTTTATCTCTTTCATCGCCTTCCTCTCTTTCTCATTGATTTTCGTTCTATATGTCTCTGTCTCTCATTCTCTGTCTTTCATTCTCACATTACCTCTCTGTTGCTCTCCATCTGTCTTGCTCTTCTTCCCATTCTCATTCTCTCTCTCTCTCTCTCTCTCTAAAAGAATACACTGGTGTGGTTGAATGTATTGGATGTTTAGTATTACTGTTATTGTGAATAATATTATTATATAGTTATTGTTCCCTGTAATAACTCATCTTTTTCTTGTGGCGTTTGTGCTGCTGTTTTATTATCTGCTCTTCAGGCACACACATCCGCAAGCTGGAGACCACGGCGACCTATGACCCCTCCACTCAGGAGTTTGTTCTGAATTGCCCGACAGTCACCTCCATTAAGTGGTGGCCTGGAGGACGTGAGTGACCGCAATAAATCATATCACAGTTTATTACCTTTTCATGTGAACAAAAAGTCCAATCAGTCTCTATTTAGAATACTTAGAAGTCAGTATTTTTCGGGTTGTGACAGGGTGAACGTGTGTATATCATAACGCCCCTATAAGTCACTTTTCTGACCTCATGGCTTCTACAAACGTAAGAATAAGACCCTCCCTGACTCCTTGATCCATACTTAGAATGAAAAGTTTCCACATGTAAGGATAGTTTATTTGTGCTTTAATGATTGGTTGTCTGTGTTTCTCTCTAGTGGGTAAGACTTCGAATCACGCCATCGTGTTGGCCCAGCTCTACACGCAGGGCAAATGTCACGGCCTCCATGCCTTCATTGTCCCCATACGCTGCATGAAAACACACCAGCCTCTGCCAGGTATGTGAATGTGTCATATATTTGTCTACACTGTGTTTGTTGTGTTATTTTTGCACTTTAAACAAGATCTTTTTGTGAATAGCGATACTTAGGGGGCCAAGCACTGAAGTGCTTGTGTTGTGTAGGATAAATTTGTAGTTTACAAATCAGATAAAAATGTGATTCACTGCAACCCACACAAAGACAATAAACAAGCCATTGTATGTACTCTGTAGATCTGGCATGATTACACCGTAACTCAAAATGGGCAAAAAAAGGACAAAATGACTAATTAAATGGTTTTTGATGAATCTGCATATTTATACTAAGGAATAGAGTCTGAAAGGTACACTTTTATATCTATTTTGAATGAAGTGTGTTTTAAAAGCTTTCCGGTATTTTGTAATCCTATGTATTCACAGTATTTATCAGGGTGTGTTCTCTCTAAAAGATATGTTGCCTTTTTTTCACGTAGTAAATCAGCAAAATGTTATTTGACTGAGTTGCAATTTGAGTCTACTGTCTGTTGCAGGTGTGACTGTGGGTGATATCGGCCCAAAGTTTGGCTTTGATGAAGTGGATAATGGATATCTGAAGCTGGACAACGTTCGTATCCCACGCGAGAACATGCTGATGAAGTACGCCCAGGTGAGCACAAAGGGAACACAAGCCGAATTACTGTGTCAGCAGACATCAGCAGTGTAAATCTCTCTCTCTTTAGGAAAACATTTAACATCATGGCATCTCAAATTTCAGCATGATTGGATTGGATTTGTTTTGGTGTGATTCAGAATCCATCAAGGAAGTTTTTTCAGAGACAGAAAACGAAGGTTATAACAACCAGCATATTACTGCTATTAACAAATGACATTCAGAACACTACATGTTAATACAGTATCATGATGATAATATTTTAATATCATGATATTATGGAAATGTTGGGTAATTATTATGATATTAAATTTTTACACATGCAAATGTGTGCACATGACTGTGTGCATGCAGGTTGAGCCTGACGGGTCGTATCTGAAGCCTCCCAGCGATAAGCTGACATACGGCACCATGGTGTTTATCCGTGCCATGATCGTGGGCGAGTCTGCCAGAGCTCTGTCCAAATCCTGTACCATCGCCATCCGCTACAGTGCCGTCCGCCACCAGTCCGAGCTACGACCAGGGTGAGCTGCTCACACAGATGTCTATACACATACCACACATAGACACTGACATGATAACACAAAAAAATTATTTATACAAAGACGTATGCGGCTCATACGGCTCATACATCCGTAAGTTTGAAAACCCTTGGTCAAATGACACGTTTTGTTGAAGTGAGAATAAGATTGTGTGACTGTTTGTTCTCCCTCAGAGAGCCGGAACCTCAGATTTTGGACTATCAGGCTCAGCAATATAAACTCTTCCCCCTGCTGGCTGCTGCCTACGCCTTCACCTTCGTGGGTCAGTACATGAGCAACACCTACCATCGCATCACCGGAGACATCAACCAGGGAGACTTCAGCCAACTGCCTGAGGTACATACACATATATTTACACAGGACATACACATATATATATATATATACGTACACAGATATATACATACACATATATACGTACACATGTGTATGTATGTGTGTATATGTATACACATACATATATATGTATTTATAACACATCCTCATACTGATGAGATATGACTGTATATGATATGTCTATATTTGGTGCATGACAAGTGGAAATGTACATAGTTAGTTAATTAACTTTAATCTTTAATTTAGTGCTTTCTTTCTTTCTTTGTTTCTCTCTCTCTCCTCTCTCTCTCTCTCAGCTCCATGCTCTGGCTGCAGGTCTGAAGGCTTTCACCACCTGGGCTGCAAATGCAGGTATAGAAGTATGCCGAATGGCATGTGGTGGACACGGCTACTCGCGCTGCAGCAGCCTGCCGGACATCTACGTCACCTTCACTCCAACCTGCACCTACGAGGGAGAGAACACCGTCATGATGCTGCAGACAGCCAGGTAAACACACCTGGCACAGGCCTCTCGGTTCCCTTTCTGACAGCAATGAGGCTATTGTACCCCATTAATTAGCGCTGTGCTAACTGCATGGCTTAATCATCAGACAGTCGCTTCGGACTGCGTGGAGCTGTTCAGTATCTCTAATAGACTTGATTATGTGGTTTCTGACACTGTGGAACACACTGTTGTCTACATGGACAAAAGTACATCACATAGATGGAAATGGTAGTAGCTGGGACTTCTTTGACTTTGTCAAACATAACACGTCTAAAGGCAGGTCTGTGATAATTGTTAATTGGTGGGATAAGCTAGTTAGCTAAATTAGCCTCGTAGCTCCAGTACAAGACTAAAGGTACAGACCTGAGACACCAAACATATATTGGCTGATTGACTTTATTTTGGGGAAAGAAGAAAATGTGAAAATCTTATTTTTTGCAGGACAGTCGCTTTGACCATCATTAAAGGGGAATTCCACATTTTTTTTTCAAATTTCTATATTATTAAATTGTTTAGATATAAATGTTAATCTTAGGAGCTAAAAAATGATTCTGAGTGGTTTGGTGTGAAATGGTTCATTGTACAGAAACCCAGATGTCTTATCACCACCACTATGAACTATGCTGACTCTAAGTTTTTTTAGTGTGGAGCATTTCACTCTGAATTACTTTGATGCTTTAATTATGCAAAAAAAGAAAAAAAAATTCCCTTCAACTAGATTTTTCTTTTGTTACATGTTAGTCTATTGTGGTGTTATTTGTGGTACTAACTGTTGCTTTCTCTGTTTGACAGGTATTTGGTGAAGTGTTACCGGCAGGTGCGCGAGGGGCAGCAGCTCAGTGGGACTGTGTCGTATCTAAATGAGCCGCAGCGTCTGCAGCCTCAGCCTGTGTCCTCCAGACCCACTGTGGTCAACATCAACGACCTGGCCAGCCTGGTGGAGGCATACAAGCTCCGCGCCGCCAAGTGAGTGCCAGGGAGAGAACACTAATGAAATTAACTTTGAAGACGTGTTTGTCGTATAATAATAATTATTATTATTATATTATTAGCTTTTTGTTATTTTGATATACTCTCAATTCACATTGCATATGTAGTCATACATAATTATTTAATTAATTACTCAGTTACACAATTAATTACATTTAGGTTTGAATTATACTCTGTATCAGCAGAGTATACTCGGTCATGTCCACTTTTCTGTTTGTTTTAATGTAAAATTTGACAAACATGGAAAAGATGTAAGATGTTTTCTTTCTGCAAAACAGGACTGTATATGAATAACCTCATTAAATTTAAATTGTAATAAAACATCTCTTCTACTTACAAACACAAATGTGGTACAAATTGAATGTTTAGAATCTGTACTTCCCACAGAATATCTGTGCTTATTTCACTAAGCTACCAGTACAAAGTAAGTAAGCAAAATATACATGAGGGGCCTATACTCTCAGAACAAAAGAGTACTAAACAGTCACTGTGGTGGTGCATTAAGAGTATAACTTCAGTACATTTATACAGGGAACAAAATTATATATTCTATTGCAATTATAGTGGTAGCTTATGAAAAGGTACACATCTGCACTTTTTTCCTGGGGGGGAAAAATGTTACATAGTTGGACTTTAAGGTCATTGTTGTACCTTTTGAGGGGCATTAACATAATTTGTAGCTAGATGAACAGAAGGTAGTAAACAGTGCCTGTACACTACCTGTTTTGACAGTGTAAGAACTAAAGAAACTGCATGTGGCTAAATCATAGCTTTTATATTTTTGCCATTGACTTAGGTTTACTCTGTATATGGAAAGCCAACCCCAAACTATTCCAGTCACATAGAGACGTGAAAACTGGTGCATTGATGTTTTTTTAACAGCAGCACTCTTTCCACAAACCTGTATGTGTTTGATTGATTTCAGGCTGGTTGAAGTGGCGGCTAAGAGCCTACAGGGGGAGCTGCAGCGCAGCATAAGCCAGGAAGACGCTTGGAACAACAGCTCCATCGAACTCGTCCGAGCCTCTGACGTAAGCAGCGTTTCCTTCTTTTTCTTTCTTCATGAAAATATGTCTTCCTCAGAAAGTCTACAACAGACCAGAATCAATGAAACGGCACTGTGTAAAAGTTTTAGACACTTTTGAAGATTAGATTTAAAAAGGTGGGTGGTGTTTGTTTATTTGCTCAGTAAAACAAAAATATTAGATCATACTAATAACATTGATGCAATAAGTAGGGAGTTCGGTCAGTGTCTTTGCTAAACCATTTCCAACCATTTTTGAGGTGCCCAGTATTATCTGTAGTTATCGTTCAGTACTTGCTTTGGTTAACCAATGCTTTATCAAATTAAATCAGGAGCGCTGATATTGGTATTGAACAAATCTAGGTGACAGCTGGAGCCCACCGAAGAGTCGGGAACCAGACCTAGTTCATTAGCTACTTTAAAAAAAACAATAAAAAAATTACTTTTTACTGCATTAAAGGCCACATATATTACATTTTCTCTTTTCTTATGGTCCACTTGTAATTTTTGGTTGGCTTTCTGTACCAAAACCAGTCATAACTGATTTTTATGTGACCATTTTCCAACCTCTCTTTCTCCCTCAGAAATAAACAGGCTATTTTTGTTACCGTGCCTTTAAAAGTGATATATGTAAATGAACTCTGAAGTTCTGATTGGCTGTATTGTATCGTACTTCAGTCAAAACGCAGTCCGGGCTAAACACTCCTTATAACTTCACTGTGAGTGGGCGGGACTAAATTGCTGGAGACTGACCAAGCAGATGACGTCACAAAAACGGTGAATTCAAAATGGACTTATTCTGAAGCTTAGTTTACATATATGGACTGTATTTACTGGAGGGGAAACAGTGCGTTTGGAAACTTTGACGGTGTTTTCATACTATACCAGTGGTCGGCAACCCAGAAGTTAAGAAGAGCCATTTTGTCATTTTAACAGAAATAAAAACACTTTGGAGCCACAACATTTTATGTCCATTTTGCCATTGTGGCTGTAAATATGTCTCAGTATGTGCTGAATTAGTTACTAGTGTACGCTAAAAAAAATATATAAATGAAATCACAGACTTACTTTGCTCTGCTTTAAGCTTTAGCTCAGCTATAGCCGCTTTTCTCGCATCTCCGACAGGAAACTTTTCCACAAAAGTAGATTAGTTTCTTGTAAAATGTCTCTCAATGTCTTCTCTAGCTTCTTGTTCAAATTTTCCTGTTTCACCTTAAATGGCACCTGATGAGCCGGAATGTAACTGCTGCACCATTTAAGGTGGAACGGGAAAATTCAAACAAGAAGCTGGCGAATGAGAAGCTGACCTCAGCTTCATTTTTAGTGTTTGACAGTTTCTCGTTGCAGATTAAACGTATCAGGAAACCATCTGGAGTGATTATGAATGCAAATAAGTCCATTCGTCTCCAAATTATCGATGTTCATCTTAAATCTTTCTCTTTGCCTTTTCGTTACCTACTAGCTAGGCGAGATTGTTGTCTTTGTTGCTATAGTGTACACCAGCAGTCTGCTCGCCAACTTTCATGGTTAAAGGGTGAATTAGCAGTTATACATGAACTCCAGCGTTTAAGACTATTTATTGTTAAAACTGTGCTGGAACGATCAGCAGAGATTCATTTTACTGCAAAGGAGGATGATTTTATTTTTACCTAAAAGTCTAATACGGCTGTGGAGCCGCTACAGGACAGTAAAAGAGTCGCATGTTGCCGACTTACTACACTGTTACTATATATATATATATGTGTGTGTGTGTGTGTGTGTGTGTGTGTGTGGGCCCTTTTAATGTTTGCTTGGTTTTATTCAGAAACACAGTTAATGTCCAGATAAATACTTTGAAGCAGTTTGTGTAGGCCCCCTTGTTAGATGTTAGATCACTTTTGCACAGGACTGTACCTTACATTTATTTTTGTTGCTCTTTGAAGGACAAAACATGGTCTTCAAGGAACTGACCTTCACAGTTTCTAGTTCAGAACATTGTTTCCCATTCAGGCTAACATGCTGTGTTTTTCTGTGTTTGTGTCTCCAGGCTCACTGTCACTACGTGGTGGTGGAGCTGTTTGCTGCTAAGCTGAGTGAAATCAGTGATACTGCAGTGCACTCAGTCCTCAACACACTGGCTCTGCTCTACGCTCTGCACGGGATCACCCTCAACTCCGGAGACTTTCTACAGGTCACACACACATACATGCACATCTACACGTGTGTCCTGTTCAGCTGCGTCATCTTTTAAAGCTGCCACTCGTCCAATATCAGGCTTTTTTAGCTGATTGCATCACTTGAGCTGCTTGAAATATTTGTCCAGACCTGACTGGACCCGACTTTTAATGAGAAAAAGAAAATGGCGAATTCAGAAGTACCGTTTAGAGCAGGCTAAAGCGTGTTTAACTTGTTTATATACGTTTATATATTACTTGCATATGTTTTTTGTCATTTTTATGTGTTCCAAGTGAAATGTTCAAGGTAAAGAAACCGTTGAAGACTAACATCTTGCTATATCAGCACCAAACAGTGTGAGAATAGTGCTGTTTGAAAAGTTTATTGAGGGAAAATAAGATTTGAAATGTTGTTTGATGAATGAGTTATTTGATCATATTATTTTATTTTAGTTTTTACTTTAGTTGTCCATGGCTGTTATTCTTTCTATGTGGAAACTTAACTGCTGCCGTCCTATGCGGTTTTATTCTGAACTTTGAGTGATGATGGGCCAATCAGGGCGAGTTTTGGAGTTTTGTCAGGCCTGGTTTAGGTTTGGTCTAAAAACAAGATGCTGTGTGTCTGGATAGAAAACTGTATTTTTCTATCCGAGTCTACTGTCTATTATGAGTTTGGACAAAATTTCAGGCCCAATTAAAGCTCTATGCTGCACATGGCACACATTTAAAAAAGGGGGAATGTTCTCACTAATTAATGTACTGAAAGCCAAATTGATCTTTGAACCTTGTTTCTCTGTGTGTGTTTTCCAGGCTGGTCTGCTGACTGTTCCTCAGCTGTCTCAGATCACTCAGCGGATAAAGGCTCTGATGGTGGAGATCCGGCCGAACGCTGTTGCTCTGGTCGACTCCTTCGACTACCGCGATGAGACGCTGAATTCTGTGCTGGGTCGCTATGACGGAAACGTGTACGAGAGCATGTTCGAGTGGGCCAAAAGGTCCCCCCTCAACCGCACAGAGGTAAGGGCCAAATACTGATGTGTGTACACTGCTGGTCAAGTAGTCTGGAATCAGTTCAGAATCTGTCCAGAATGATGAAAAACTGTAAAACATCTAAAATAAAGTCTTTAAACAGAATGTCTTATCTTACAGAAATGGTAATCAAATCATGAGGCAGATAACTATTGTAAATTGATACCTGAAATGTATTATTTATCATTTAATGCCTTTCTGATGTTCCCAAAATATATTAAATCATTTATTATTTTCATTTCATTTACTTTTGCATATTACATTCTACCGAATTAGTTCAAAGTCAGAGTTGAAAACACAGTTCGGACTTTTAACTGACTTGGACTGTAGACTAAAATCTTTTTACTTTGAGTGACCCTATAGCTTAATTACGTTTATTTTTATTAAAGTAAATCATTTAACATTACATTTTATCACTATCAAAACAATAAAACTGCCAAAACTTTACCAAATGTTTCAGTAATGACAATTTTGGCTAATTTTGAGCAGAACTCTTACGACGCTAGCCAGTGCATGATGAGCAGACACAGCTTTGAACAGTTGTACACACATAAAATCATCAAATTTTTCTTTAAAACACAAAAAAATGTGTGTTTTGGTAGTGACAATTCTTGATGTTCCACACTGATTTTCAGATGCTGTCTCACTTCCTGCTCTAAAATGCAGCGGTGTGGCCACAGACTAAAACTATTCACTATTTACTATTTTGGTAGTGACAAATACGAGGGACATTTTTTAACTTCATTTTTTTTAATACAAATTTGTATAAAAATTAAACTCGATGAAATTTAAATCTTTCAGCTTCACTTTAAAGATCTTTATTTCTCCAGGGTATATTTTGTTTTTTCCATCTGAATTTACATGACCAAATCGTAAGGCAAATTATTCAGTAACTGGATGAAATGAATGTACATTTTTATTTTATGTATTTATTTATTTTTTAAGTGCCCCTCAGATTATTAGAAAATGTGTTTTATGATCATACACATATTGCTATATGCTTACAATTTACTGCTGAAAGCCAGAAATCTTAGACGCTCTTTGCATTTTTTTTATAAAAATAATTTTTACAGAGCGGATCACTGAAGAAACACCATCTGTTTATAGTTTATAGCCCAGATTTGTGGAAAAATGGGTCGACTTTCAGTAGGAAAAAAAATTGTTTTTGAGTTCACCTTCTTTTATTATAAGGGTTTAAAATTACATTACCCATCTATTTGACTGGAAAGAAGACAGTTACAGCTCTCATATGACACCCACCTTTTGAATGTAGCTTATGAAATATGAAAGTTATGAAGAATATGACGAAGTGCGTTTTGGAACCACCGGTGGTCTCGAGTTGAAGAGGTTAAATCTTTTTTTTCCTTTTTTTAAGATCTTTAAAAGCAATGTTGGAAAAAAATACAAAAATATTTAAGTATTATTTTTCACAGGTGTAAATTTAGGGGTTGGGGTTCAGGACAGACACCTCCCAATAAAAAGTACCCTATAAATGATGATTTTGTATATTATTACTGTCTCATTTAATGCATCGGGTTTAAAAAGATCATAATGTAATCCTTGTAAATATTTAAGTGTGAATACTTTGTTTCTTTTCTTTTTCTTTCTACTGTGGGACCGCAGTTTGAACTAAGTAGCACTAATTGCAAAAGGTGTTGTTTTGTACAGCCCGTTATCAATGAGGAGAAGCCTCTCAATACAAAAAAAATAGTGATACCCATAAGAAGTAAAGCCCAGTTACACCATTGGTTCACAGTGGCACTCTACTGAATCCAGGCATCATTGTGGGAGCTAAGAATGGCCATGATTTAGGACAAGGCTAATGTCTGATTAAATGCAACTGATGTGCCTTTTCTTGCTTCCATTATAGGTCCATGAATCCTACTACAAGTACATGAAGCCTCTCCGGTCCAAACTGTGAGGAAGAACGTCCATCCAAAAGCATTTATAGCACTAACTCCTAGACAGAGAACAATCCTTCAATCAAATATCACCAGAAGGCCATGACTGAGCTGCTGCAGTGACCAGGGCCTTTATTTAATCAAAGTGCTGTTCTAGGATCAGTTTAACGTCTTTTACATTCTAATGAATATCTTAATATAGAGGGGGGACCTGATCCCAGACCAGAAGCTACAAGAAACGATTGATAAACGTGGGCCCAGATAGGTATACATGGTCCAAAGGCCTGGAGTAGCATAACATAAAGGGTAGCATTACAGCGCTGGAAGAGTCGAATGTGGATCCCATACAAATTGGGACTGGAAGCAAGCGCTTCAGGGAGAAAATGATTGTTTGTGGTTGTTATTCTGTGTCTGATTTTCTCCAGCCTCTCGTATTCTGACCGATCAAAGGGGAGTTCCACCAGTTGTTTCAAAATTTCTGCCATTCAGACTGGTTTAATGTGAAATGGTTAATTGTAGGGAAACTTATTGACTCAACTTATTGACTATTTGATTTCTTTACAGTGGTGGCGATAGGAACCAGGGGTCACAATGTCTACAACAAAAATATAGCAATTTATTTACTGTCCAAAAACACCAGGGAACCTACATGTATTTTGAATGTTTATATGTAATGATGATAAGAAAATAACAGTAAAACCGATCTTTGGGTACTATTTTAATGAATGTTTTAGGCCAACGTCTTACATCTGTTGTATTGTCTCAGGCATCAGGCAGCATATTTGTAACCATTTCATATAAAAGCTTTCTGTGAGGGAGTCTTCTATCAAGACCACTGTGAACAGTTCTGACTCCGTCTCTCTAAAATGGCACGATTCACATCAAACCACTCTGTACAACTTAGTTCACATCATAATGATTTAATTTTGCGAAATTTAAAAAAAATTGGTGGAATTCCCCTTTATGAGAGTGATGTGTGAGAAGTAAATTTTGTAATCCTGTTTATTCTAATATAATAATAATAATAATAATAATCATCAGGATGAAAGCATGTAATAGGCACCTATTGGCTTTGGCCAAGTGCTGATAATCAGTATAACATTTTAATATGAATGTAATAAACATGGTTGGTCTATCTGTAAACATTTTTAACATCTTTTGAAATACTGTTTGTTTAATTGTTCATCTTATTCACACACGCAATAAGTGTAGCTTTTTTCACTGAATTCTGAGAGGGTTGTTGGGTTGTTTATAGCCACTGATGTCGTGTATGTGGAATCATTAGGTTCATTCAGAAATCCAAAATGTTCAACTGTGTCTCCACCACTGAGTTTCCACATTTGAGAAGATAATCAAGTGCTTTTTCTGTGGATCAGATTAGTGGGATATTTTGGATATTTAGGTGACTGCTGATTGTATCACGAATAAATTGCTTGCAATATGAGTGACATTTCAAAACTCATGCCTTAATCTGTTAAACTGTGCTTTAATTCAAGGCCAGTGCATTTCTTTTTGTTCTGCACCGGGAAAACAGTTCATTTGAATCATACTTGTTGAGTTAATCCTCCTCATCTCATTTTTAGCTCTTATTTTGATTCAGACTTGAATGAATTTGTAGTCAAACTACTGTGTAACTTAAAAGCTGTTAAGACAGTGGAAATTTTGATAGTCATTATCGAATCTTCTTGATTAGTCATGAATTGATTATGATGAATAAAATATTAATTTGAAATGAGTGTTTTATTGTTGATTTGTTATTGTTATTGCTCATATATAGTTGCCAAAATAAGCATTGTCATATTTTTTAAACCTGCTTGTGTAATCACTGCCTTCTGCACATTACAGTGTTTATTCTGATTTAAAGGGACTGTATTATAGAAAAACTAATTTTCCTCATCTCTCTCAAATTTCCTGTTTACCCCAGATATAGTTGATCAGCCAGGATGTTTGACAAATCTTGCTTCTTTAGCACTGGAGCTACAAAGCTAACGTTGCTAACAGTCACTAGAAGTCAACAGACACCCAAATCTTTTCCATAAATTTATCCTGGTCTTAATGAACAAAAGTTTAACTGTGTGGCAAAACTTGGTGAAGCTGCACAGTGTAGTTTTGTCCTTTTTTATAGCTCACAGTAATACTGTGTCCTAAACCAGGGTTTCTCTACCCGTGGGCCGCGGACCACCATTTGGCCATGAAGCACCCTCTAGTGGTCCACGGGTCTGTACTTTGGGGGGAGGCAGCAGTTTGTAGTGGGCTATTAACGTCACTTTAAGTCATAAAACAAGTGGAAAAAAAGATTTACTTATCTAATAATCAATTCTAACCAATATAGATATTAATAGAGATGTACAAATAAAAATGTCACAGTAGCAGCTGATTAAACGTCATTAGTTTGAGACAACACAGCCACGAGTGTGATGCAGACAGTTAGCGAGCCAGAGATGGAGAAGTTTCTCAGGGCGCTTTCACACCTTCCCAGAGAACTTGTAGAGAGGAGAATTACATCTCTGTAATGTCTACTGGATTTCTCAAACGCTAGAGGGCGCTCCTGAGTGAGTCCAAAATGAACGGGTTGATATGGAGCATTTGAGCAAAATCATAGTTTATAAATGCTTAAACATTTTTAATGTAAAAGAATACATTCATTTCCTGAACACAGAACAGCATAAAACATTTTAACACAGCTGTTATAATTTTAAGAGCTTTTAAACTTGAGTTATAAACGTTTAAACGTTTAAAAGTGAGTGCCACCCAAACAGCACTCAGTAGCAGTAATGCCAGCGTTCTGCTGCCCAAAACCCATTGCAGAAGAGAAAAAGGAAACATACAGGTACGTTTTCTTCTACTTTCTAAAATTAAAGGAAAGTTCTGTGTAAGTGATTAGAAGCTATTTTAACTTTTTGTTTTTAGCTGTTTAGCTCCTTTTACCCCCACTCACTGAGGACTTGCTCGCGAGAGCCCACTGCTGTTGTGCAGTTATGTTTTTGATATAACGGGGGAAATAGGAAGAGGCCGGGCTCCTCTTAAACCGGCTCTGACCTTCCTTGTTTGGTGTGGACTTATCACACCATTTTCTTACATTTGTTACGTTTTCATATGTGTGAATACTCCACCCGTACTTGAGTCTGCAGCAGACAGCTGAACCAGTCAGGCAAATACCATGGGCCTCGGTCCGCTTTCTGGTTCGGTTCACTGCTGATGGGAGCGCATTCTCTGAATTCATCAACAGGACTTGCTTTCCTCTTCTTTTAGCAGCATGATGGCGCTGTACTGTCAGCATAATCTGCCTGTTTAAACATCTGAATTTTTACAGACTTAAGTTTTCAGTTTATCATTTAATAAATTATTGTATTTAAAAGGTTTATTTTAGTTATATTATTATATTTGTAGTTATAAATAGGTGGGCCTTGGGGTGGAAAAGGTTGAGAACACCTGTATTATAGCGCATAGACAAGTCTGCACAACGTAAAACAATGGTTAACATGGTTGCGGTTTGAGAGAAGTTTTTGGTGACTATTGACTTAAAGTGTTTGTTGCAACTGTAAATTTGATTTTGCACCAAACCATTTGCCCACTAAAGGAGTTAGATGTAAATTATAAAAAGATAGACTACAGTCTGTAACTGTAGAAGTACAAAGTGCTCATATGGTCAGTGGAGCTGATAAAATGGACACTGATTGTAGATACAAGGAAGTGGTTTTAATGTTATGGCTGGTCAGTGTATATCCACGTAGCCTTTTCGGCCTACAGCAGTGTAGCCCCACCCATACGCTGAAGTTATAAGCAGTGTTTCAGCACCTAGTGCTTTTTGAATGAGAGACAATACAGAGCAGCCCATCAGAACAGAGCTTATTTGCATTTATCAGTCTTAAAGGCACAGTACCAAAAAAGGCTGTTTAAAGGGACTTTGGAAAACGGTTAAGTGACATTGAATTATGAGGTTTTTGGTACATGAAGCCACAAACACGTGGACCTTGGGGGTGAAAGAGCAGATAAAATACAGAATATGGGCTTTTTAACTCTTAACATCATGAAGGGTTTGGTAGTAAGTTTATGAGTTAAGGCGGTTCTGTTGTGGTGCAGCAAACAGTTAGCATTAGCAGAGAAACCTTTCCCTGCAGTAAAATGAGAAGCAGCACAGCAGGTGTCAGTGTTGGTTGTTAAACTGGTCACAGGGTTGCCAGATATTCAAGCTATTAAGCCAATATGACAGTACTCCAAAACAAAATCCTAAATCACCGTGTGAGCTTTGTGTTATTGTGCGTTTAGCTCTTAAATCAACCCACAAATGTTCGTTGGCATTTTGGGCGACACTCGGCTAAAAATAGCACGACGTAGCTTCAGTTATAGCTTCTGTTTCATTCGTGTTTGTTTTGGCTGTCTTAGCTCGGTCTACAAGGCTGAAGTTGGCTTCCTAGTTCGAATTTTTCGGTTCCACCTTAAATGGCGCAGCAGTTCCATCCTGGCGCCTCAAGCAGAATGTAACTGCTGCACCATTTAAGGTGGAACGGAAATATTCCAACAAGAGCTTCGTGCTCACTCTGTGGAGCTGAAGGCGTTTGAATAGTTTGAATAACGATTTTGTACGGCAATTAACACAATTAACTTCGAGGTTTTTGGCTTTAAATACACACAAAAGTCTGTTTTAAGTTCAGTGTTGAGGCTGGCTAACAGGTCTTTAATCCCTCCCAGTCATGTTTCCTTGGCTCAAGTTCCCACTGGAGGGAAGTGTGCGGTAGTAGCATGGGCAGCACCTCGCCTGCCGGAACGGCGGCAAAATTCACAGTTATAAGCCATAAGGAGGATATTTTCTGGGGTTAAAACTTCGATGAGTCCCTTCTGGGAGACTCCAGACTGCACTGCTGACTGTGAAAGGTGAGGAGAAGCTGGTTAGTTGCATGTTTTGTATGTTTTGTTAGTTAGTTAACGTAGCTGCTCTATAACGTTAGCCGCTGACCATATGGGCATTATGAAAGCCTAAATGTGTATATAGCATATTGTAAGTCAAACAATGTAATAGACGTTAAGCATTGTGTTTAAATGGAAACCGTACTACCCACAAGAAAGTCTGCAACTTTAAAATAAAACTGCGACATATTTGAGGCTCTTTGCATACCTACCAGATAACAGAGTGGACGCTGGTGTGGTATGAATTGATTCGAGTCTAATTCAATCCGGTTTTTGTCTGGACTGGTTTTTTTGGCAACATAGTTTCACAGAAAGTATGTTCAGAACTTGCGGAGCCCTTTATAAGGTGGCATGGGAATTGTTTTTAAATAAAGAATGACCGCAAATATATATGGAGATGACAAAGTACTACATTAAGGCACAAATGAATATATTAAGACTAGAAAATAATATTTTGAGGCCACTGGTTAATATATTAAGGCAACAAATTAAAATATTGAGGCCACAAGTTGCTATATAAGGGAACAAATGAACATATGGAGACCACATATTACTATATTAAGGCCACAAATCACTATATTAAGGGCATAAATTAATATATTGAGGTCAGAAGTTACTATATAAAGGGCAGAAATTTATATCTGGAGACCACTAATTAATATATTGAGGGCACAAATTACTATATTAGTGCGGTAGTGTCAAAGGGTCAAGTAGGGGCACAAATTAATATATTGAGGCCACCAACTGATAAATTGAGGCTGAAAGTTAGGAGAAACTTAACTTGTGGTGTCAGTATATTCATTTGTGGCCTCAGTGTAGTAATTTGTTTAAAAAAATAAAAAATAATTAGTTAATTATTAATTAAATAGTAATTTATTTAAAAAATAATCACACTGTCACCTAATGGGCTTCATGATAACTAAAGATATGAGCCATTCTTCTGTTTCACCTCTTTTTTTATATATTTCTTCTTGCTTATGTGGAAGTGGTGCTTGAGCTTATGGTGCAATAATGAATGGTGTTGAGAAACTGTAAGTTGTGTAAACCCATATAGAATCTTTTGACACTACTGCACATTTCATCTACATATGTGCATACCCTTTAGTGTATTGGTGTGTAATCATTAGCATATATTTAAGTATATATTTAGCACATATATTTTAAATCATAACGTGTGCACATATGTTTTTTTACATGAGCAAATATACGTGCATGTATTTTTCTCCCTAATGGGCGTGCAGCTTTGTATTGTGGAAAAGTTTTCTTTCTTACTGTTTGAAAAATCTTTTGCACATTTGACCCCCTGAAATGCCCCACGTCATCATCTGGAGAATTTTGTGGTTGAATTTGTGATTTAACAAGCCTAATTATCCGGAATTCATGGGTTGAATAGACTGTTAAATCAGGGAAATTACCAAACTAGGGCTTGGTTTCAGCCTCAGCAGCCAGTAGTGGTGGAGAGTATGACTATATTTTATTGTTACTGTGATAAATTGCGTCACAGCATGTGGTGGAGAATGTCAGTGCTTAAAAACACTGACCAACTACTTGTTTTATGTTGAGTATTTAGTCCTGTTTAATGGGATTTAGCTCAGCACAGTCTGTAGAACACTACATATATAAAGCATTGTGATCATAGGTTTTGGTAGTGTGGTGTAGCATCTAATCAAACCTCAGAAAAAAGAAAGAAAATCATGATGGTGTGTATAGTGAACTGCAACAAAGCATTTTTTGGGGTGTTCAGGTGCGATATCGCTCATCTCTAGGAGCTAGTACCTGGCCAAACGTCTTCTTTCAAACATATTTTCCATATTTATTCCTTCATTCTCTCTTCTTCTCTCCTGTTCCCCCTTCCTCCACGTCCTCCTATCTGTCCCGGTTGTAGGTCTGCCTGTTTAAGCCATTATGGCTGGTTTCATTTGCACAGTGCTTGTGAAGGAGCTTCCCGTATTGCATAAGTAAGTCACTGTGCCACGCTGTGTTGGCACTCGTATCAGATTAAGCTCTCAGAAACTGCAGTTAAGACAGCAGTTACAACACGAATAACTTACACCAGTTACACCGTAGAACACCTGCTGGCTCGAAGACAGAATTGATAAGGAAGCTCAGTGACAGTAACAGTAATGCTGCTACTAAAGGCTGCACGATATATCACTTGTCAATAATCGTGATATTGCCCATCGCATTACATGCCCAACTACTGATTTCACAAATGGCTGCAAGATGAAAGTCCTCTAATCAGTGTTAGAGTTTTGTACAAGGGGAAAACATGTTTTTTATATATTTTATAAATTAAAAAGTTACAATATCGCAAAGCAATATAATTGCAATACCTATATTTTGTCTTTAATGCACAGCCCTTGTTATCGTAACACTTACAAAAAATATACAGTGCTGTGCAAAAGTTAGAGACCACCTTTCATTTACGTAACTTAAGAACAGGTTATTTTTAACAACGGTAAATAAAGCAAAAAACATATATTTAACAGGAAATTACACAGAAGCCTCAACATCTGAATATAAGATCAGATGTCACTCTTTTCCTTTATTACAGCTTCCATTCTTTTCAGGACCCTCACTTTCAGTTTCTCACAGAAATCTGCAGACACACCTCCAAAGTTCAGTCTTAGAAGCTGGTTGATCATTTTCTGAAGTAATCAAACACATTCAGTGATGTTGAGGTCTGGACTCTGAGGCGGTCAGACCATTGTTCAGCTTCTTTGTTGATGTGTCCGTCTCCTTTTCTCAGTGAGGTCTTCTTGACAGCTACACATCCTTTCAGACCCACAGTGTCTTTCAGACCCATAGCGCTGTGTTGTCTTCTTACAGTGGAAGGATGGACAGAAACACCTGTGGATGTTTTCAGATCTGAAGCAGCTTGATTTTCTCTTCTCTCTCAAAGATGAATGCTTTAAGTGCTGTTTATCTGATGCAGCAGTTTTGGTGTCTACCAGGTCTTCCAGTTGGTTGTTAGGAGGCCCATTTTCTCTGTGGCTTTCGTTTTCTGAACCCTGTTATTTTTTTTCTTTCCTTTGATTTTTACCTTTCTCATGCAAGTGTCTTATACACACTTGAGAAAGATGGTTCTTCAAGGGTTTTTTAGTAAAGAATATGGTTCTGTGTAGAACCATGAACACTCAAAGAGCCCTTGGCATCATGAAAGCGTTCTTCAGTTTGAAGCAGTATGTGTTGTATATGCTTCTAGATAGAACCTTTTTGGAAAGGGTACTATATAGCACCATATAGGGTTCTTCTGTTGTTACAAGCTTGCCATCATAACTATAGAAGAACCATTTTTGGTGATACACAGAGCACTTTTCAGAAATGTTCTATATGCAACCATCTACAGCACATTCTCCATCAATCTGAAGAACAATTAAATGATGCAGAGAATTCTTTGTTCATAAAAATAAAGCTAAAGTTATTTAGCCTTTTTATCAGATTAATTTGTTTTGCAGAAACAGCCGCTCATTGGAAAGCTGGCTCTGATTCCTCAAAAGCACTTTTTTCTTTTAAAGCCGGCCCCTAAACAAGACGTCTTGCAGGTCGTGCAGACAGGAAATCATATCTTTTTTTTTTTGTCTGTTTTGCCAAATATCTGATTTATATCTGAGTTTTTTTCCTTTGAAATCTAAAACAGCAGCATCTCAAACCAGATGTTCCCGTTTCTGATTTGAATCACAGTCACTTGCAGACATGCGTTTTTCATCAAAAGATCTTGGTGTAGATGACGCAAATTGAATGAAGAATACCTCGGTCACAGTGCAGTAAGATGTGAAAACACAAAACAGCACAAAACACATGCACTTTAATAAGGAAAGGATAGTCAAAATGAAAAATGCAGATGAAAGCCGTGGGCGGAGTGAACGCAAATAAAATTTTCCTGCTGAAAAAGCCAATTTAGCTGCATGAAAAAGAACACGATAGTGGTTTACTGAACTGTTTTGTTCCCTACAAAATGATATAATTAGCAGTTTCTCCCGTAATCACATGGCTTTTGCTCCATCCTGACGAAGTAAACAGTGAAGCAAAGGTCTGGTGTGACCGCGGTCTCGGGAATCAGCGTCTGCTAACTGGAGAGGATCTAGTATGGAGTTTTAAATTTACATTTACAACCCTATTTCCAAAAAAAGTTGGGACACTGTGCAAAATGTAAATGAAAACAAATTGCAAATGATATGCAAATCTTTTAAACCCTATATTTCATTGAAAATAGTACAAAGACAACATATCATATGTTCAAACAGAGAAATTTTATTATTTTCTGAAAAAAATTTGCCCGTTTTGAATTTGATGCCAGCTGGGATAGTCTCCAGCACCCCACCGTGACCCAGAAGGATAAGCGGTTAGGATGATGTATGTATGTATGTATGTATGTATGTATGTATGAATTTGATGCCAACAACAGCTTCCATGTTTTTTGGAACATGTTTTTGGCATCAAATTCAAAATGGGCATATGTTTTTCAAAAATCAATAAAATTCCTCAGTTTCAACATTCGATATGTTGTCTTTGTACTATTTTCCATTACAAATACTGTGTATGTGATTTGTATATCATTGCATTCTATTTTTGTTTACATTCTACTAAGCTTGATTACCCTATGGCCAGAATGAATGGGCTTTGTGGTTTTGACGAGTTGAGCTACCTTATCAAAATGTTCTACAGTAGCGGATATTTACAGATATACTCATAAATAGAACCTCTAGGTAGGATGTTTTGTTAGGCTAAAACTCCTTATCAAAAATACTACCTGTGTTAGGCTTAATTTATCTTCTTTTTTGCCAGCTTCTTATTTGAATGTTCCCGTTCCACCTTAAATAGTGCAGTAGTTGATCAGCTATCACAGATGTAGCAAAAGGAACAAAATATTCACCTGTTGTTTCCCTGAAACAGCAATATAAGTTAATGTTACTCAGCTGTGAAGCAGAAATAGAGCAACTTGCTCATATCACAATTTCAACTCT